AGTCACTCGGACCGGGGTCCGGTGTCGGATATGGGTGCTGAATGTCATGAAACTCATCCTGATCATCCGAGTCCTCATGATCAGATGGTTCGGGTTGTACCACAATCGTGGTGGCGTCTCCTTGGTCTGAGGTTGAGGAGATTGCTCAACGGGGTCAGGTTCAGGTTCATCGATTTGAGTGGGGATTTCCTCGTAATCCGACTCGTCCTCGATGTGGGCTGGAAGCTGTACTTCCACGCGCTGTGGGATAGGTTCTGGTGGCTGATCATTTCCGTCATAGAAGATGCTTTCATTGAAGGTCACATCTCGGACCCTTCGGACTTCTGATGTGGACGGAATCCAGATCCTGAAAATGTTCGTGGAATCATATCCAACGAGATAACCGATTTCTGTGTGAGGGTCGGTCTTTAGGTCCTTCTTCTGTCTGTTCTGAAGGGCCTGGGGTGTCAAGGATAGGCTCTGCAGCCGTATGCCTTGAGAAACGTGATGTCAGGCTGGTCTTGCTGGTAGCCTATGTCTCTGTTGTTGTCTCGCAGCCACTGATGAAGCAGCTGGAAAGGCGTTCGGAAGCTGTGGTTCTGCATGGGCGATCTGTTGTGCAAAAACACTGCAGCTTTCCAAGTCTCTGGCCAAAGATCAGATGGTAAATTGGCATCAATTCCCATTGTTCTGGCCTGGGCAGATATTACCCCCCCAGATCGCTCTGCAGAGCCGTTTTGAGCGGGAGTGTAAGGGCAGAAGGTTCATCTTGAATCCCTTTTCCTCGATCCAGCTCTCATACGCACTCTGAAGAGAACGATCGTTATCACGGTGGATAATGCAAATATTGAGATTCCATTGGCGTTGAATCATTGCCTCATGGTTTCTCAAAGCAGTCATAACGGACCCTTGTGTCGCGTCATTCAGAAGGTAGATGAAGATCATGCTTGTAAATTCATCTTTGATAAGAAGAACAGCTTCCTTGCCGTTGAATGAGGTGTTCATACTGAAGATATCAACGTAGATTCTCCAGAATGGTCTGGGGCTCGGTTTTGAGGGGTTCGGCGAGAGACGACCTTCTTTCCCTTCCCAAGGGAACACGCGGTGCAATCGATGGTAACTGGGCCTTTGATCTTCGAACCCGTCGTGTTCTCAACAAGATGCTCTAGGGCTTGAGCGTTCAAGTGACCTAGGCGCTTATGCCAAAGCGTAGCATCTGCTGTTTTCACTGCGCGAGGTGCAGATGAAGATGTGAAGTTGGAGGCGAGAGCCTCCTTAATCGGGTTGAACTCGATGACCGGTTGACGAAAGCGGCGTTTCGTATGAAATATAATCTGATCGTCTTTAGAGACGCGTCCAGATAGTGGATTCCAGTTGTATCCCTTCGCAAGAAAGCGGTCGAGGATGCGATGTTGGTGTGGAATTTTGGCACGAAGGCAACTTCGTTGAGCTGAAAAAGTCCTCCTTCTTCAAGCTTCATACGGACTGTGCCGTAGCCAAGGATCTGAAGTTGACTATCGCCTGCAAAGAGCTCTTTTGGCTCTGCAAGGGCGGTGTAGTCAAGAAAACGGGATCGGTTGTTGCAAATGTGTGTGTCTGATCCGAATCAAGGATAAAGGAGTCATACAGCGGGTAGACTGCCTTTCCCGTCGAGAAACTGGTTGATGGAGGTGTTGAAGGAGGCGGTGTGTTGTCAGGAGCTGGTAGAAGACCGGCAAACGCTGTGCCTTTAACGGAGGAGTCGGACGATTTCTCCATTTCCTTCTTCTTGAAGTCTTGTGCTTTCTCCGTCATCTTCTTTGCCCATGGATTGGAGTCGAGGATTTCCTTGATCTTCTTCTCAACCTTCTGATCAGGAGTCCAGCCATCAGGCCGAGCTGATTTGATGAGATAGAAGCAATCTACGAAGCGGTGATATTCTCCGCAGACACACATAGGAACACCATCAGCGTTCTTGCTTGAAGACCACTTAGGCTTGTCCTCTTTCCTCTCCGATTTCTCTCCTTGCCTTGGAAGGCAGCTCCGAATGATCCTTTGCTGTTGTTGGCGGCCTTGATTCGGTGAGCTCGTTCAAAGATCTCACTGATCTTAATGCCGTCCGGGAAGTCGGTCTTCCACTCAGGCTTGCCGAATACGGCCTCGTCTTCCATTTTGTTGACCCAATAGTCTGTGAATGGGGCGTTGATGGACGAAACAGCCTGTAGGAAATCTTGGGTAGGGCGAAGGTCCTGGACATCAGGAAGCCCTAATTGCTTTGCCTCAGTGAGGACTTTCTGCCATTGGGTGACCCAAGCTTCGATCTTGGTCCTGTTTGGCGACTGAAGGGTGGAACGATAACGCTGAACAACTTCCTCTCGAGTGCCCAGTCGGTTGGGGCCACACGAGCCTGAAGCAAGGCAAGTTGCTTTGCAACGTCGTGTTCCTCGGCAATGGTGCTGTAGTAGTTGCCGATGGTCTTGACGATGTGTTGTTGAAGGCTGGCGAGTGCCTTCACTTGATCCCTATACCCTTGAAGCTTCGAGCGGTATTGGGTGTGGAGGAATTCGAGACGGCGAAATTCCTCCGAGGTCAGATCCACGAGATCAGATGCTTCGTGGTTGATTTGTCGGAATGTTGGTTCAACTGGCTGCTGAAGAACCGGCTTACCCTCCTTGACGGCAGGGTCCAGAAAGTCCCAAAGACTGTGGGACGTGGCGAATTTCTTGATGATAGAAATCCATTGTTTCCAGTCGCAAGGGCCGTTGAGCACGGTGCCCTTGGAAGAGCCATCAAGATCTAGAGCTGAGCTCATTGTGGAAGCTATTCTGCGCAGCGGAATGAACGAGAATAAGATACCCAGTCAATGGCAGACCGGGCTCATAACTATCGCACGGAGGATGAGCAAGTGGGCATAAAGATCAGGGACTGGAAGACTCTTGATTCTGCTATCTAAGGTGGGAAAGAGGCGAGATCTTTATAGACTGCCTGAATATGAGAATGGAAGGGAATGGTAGTGAATGGAAGCATCTGATCAGATCATCTGGAAGCCACTGATGCGTTGATGATGCCTCCTAGAAGTTTCTGTGGGGAAATGTGGAAACGGACTGTGCGAATAGGGGGTCAGACTGTTGGAGGCTGATATCCTATGTGTGACATAGACAAATTAACGTTAACATTTAGGAATAAGACGTTACGCTAGACGACGATAAGGAGGCTATTATAATATACGTCGTAAGGTTTCTATTAGAAGGATAATTTAATATATATCTTTAAGGATATAAGATCCTAAGTTACTTCTAAGAACATTTTAACGGGTAGATAGAAGAAATATAGGAGAATGCCGATAAGACCTATAGGAGAATACTGCGATAGCTCTTAAAGCGACGAGGGATATATACTAGAAGGAGTAACGGCTCGATTATAAAGTAGTTTGTCTCCTTATAGACTATTAAAAACCTACTTAACTAGCCTATTAAAGATTTTAAAGAGATAACATTCGATAAGGGTACTAGCGTATATAGGAGGCAGAAGGCATTAGTACGAAGATCTCCTACCCTACACGGAACTACTGCTGCTGCTGCTATACTAACAGCCTCACCGTAACCTTTTATAGCTACTTCGATTACCGCTATAGCACTCGAACCGAAGGACATAGAAGACCCCCTTTTAATATAAGCTCCCCTTCTAACTTTACTCCTAATAGTTAACCTCGACCCCTAGGCGCGCTTAACGGCTCACTTAACAACCTACCGGTTTAACTACCCGGAGATCGTCTAAGTAGTTACTATACCCGCTCAGCCTACCGAACTAAGGTCGTTAATAGCCCCGACGAACCCTATAACGACCCCCTTAGAGGCGTATATTGTTACGGCCAGGCACATACGAGCCTTGACGGCTATAAAGATGTATTGGCACTATGAACGAAGACTCAAAGCTAAGGAGCAAGAAAGAAAGACTAGACTACACGACCGAGCTGGCCCTTATGTGCATATGCACGAGGTTACCTCAGCAGCGCTCAGGTAAGCACGAGGTCGCACGTGGGCACGTGATGCTGCTTGGGCACGTGACACTGGTGAGGTTCTGCGCTGGTGTCTCTACGCTGGCGCGCAGGGTCGTGACACTACCCCGTCTAAGGCCTTGATATGCGTATCAAGGTAGTCAGTCGTGGCGGCGGGTTCTTGGTTTCACGGCTTTCTCTGCTGTGTCATCATCGTCTCGTTCCTCGCAGCCCTCCTCCGCTGCAGCACATTCGATCCAGTATTGCAGGTTGACGGGTGGGCCTGCTGCGTCCGGATGTTCATCGTGGAATACCTTCAATGCTATTGGTGCGTTACGGAAATTCCTAGCCGGGTACCAGGTCTCATCAGGGTCACATCCCTTCCATAAGACCTGGTATTCCAGTCGTCGACTCCTACCGGTTACTCGAGACTGCTGGACTTGATCAACCTCCCACTCGGGTTCTCCGTTGATCTCCTCGGGTGGCGGAGGTGTCTGGATCTGCTGGGGCAAGGGGTTATCGGCTGCTTTTCGAAGACGGTCGGCGTGGAATAGGTTCTTCATTTTGTACGACTCGGGCAGCTGCAGTACGTAGCTATGACCGCGTTCTTCCAGGATTACGAACGGACCTGACCATTGGTTATCTAGCCGAGTAGTCGGAGCGTTCGTGGCGAAGCCTTTCCTGCTGAGAAAACTCGGTCACCGATGGCAAAGTCGGTTGGTCGTCGTTTCCTATTAGCCTGTTCCTTCTGACGTTCTTGAGCGGCGGTGGCAGCATTCCTGGCGTCTTCCTGGGGTTCCTGGGCGGTCTGCACAAGTTCCCTAGCTCTGGCGGCGGGGCCGGGGGGAGCGGGCTTGTCAGTCGGGGGCAGTGACAGGGGTTCCGGATATCTCGGCCTAGGGCTACTTTTAACGGTGCCATGTCGATGGAAGAGTGCCAAGACGAGTTATGGGCGAAGTCGAGGGAGGGCAGCAGGAACTCCAGTTATCTTGATGCTTCGTCACGTAGAATCGTAGCTTTTGATCTAGGTATTGATTTGTAACTTCTACACCCTTGGGTCTGAGGGTGTAGGAGCTTCCATGACGATGCTTCGTTCCCGTGAGCCGGTTAATCTCTGCGAGGAAGGCAGAAATAAACTGTCCAGCGTTGTCAGAAATCCATACGAGGGCATACCGAAGAAACGATAGAGGTAGCGGAAGTAGCGGCTAGCTAAGACTTCTGCCGTATCGTTTTTCTTTCCTGGGAGCGTGGCGATAATCCGGCTTAGCTTGCAGACGAAGGTCCAAACATAGTCATATCCGTAACGGTCTTTCGGCATATCCTTCCCGTCACATTCGACGTGCTCCCAAACAGAGGTCGGTACGGGCAGTGGATGGAGCAGTCCAGGGGTCTTGTCTCGAGGGGTTTTGTTGCGGCGGCAGTCGTGGCAGTTCCGAATATAACGACGGATATCCTCCTTCATCCTTGGCCAGTAGAAGTCTCGTTGGAGCAGCTTGATCACCTTGTTCTGTCCGGCGTGAGCGAAGATCTGGGGCTCGTGGGCTTCGCGAATGAGCGCGGTCTGAAGAAACGTCTGCTTGTCTGAGGTCTGGGCTGGTACGATCAGGTGTGTTCCATGGGTGCCGAGGTCTTGGAGGAGGTTCTCTTGGCGGATCAACGAAACGAGTTCGGCTCCCTTCGGGACCGAGTTCGGGTCTAGTTCTGGGCGGTCTTGATCGGGCGTCTGCTGTATCCCTCGGTCTTCTGGGGTCTGTAGGGCACTCGTGGCCCTCAGAACTAATGGTCTAGTAGGCTTAGGTTCGGGACTAAAGTTCTGAGGGGGCAGGTTGCCGGCGGCCGTAGGGTCTAGAGAGTCGGTCGCGAAGCCTAGCCTTTCCGGAGGGATCAGGGTCACCGTGCGTTCCTCGGCTTCCCGGGCCTTTACGGTAGGGAGCTCCGCTGTCTTCCTGGAGAGGGCATCGGCGACTACGTTCAGTCGACCGGGGCGGTAGAGGAAACGGATGTCGAACTGGGCGAGAAAGTCGGACCATCTGATCTGTCGTACCGAGAGCAGGCGCTTCGTAGAGAAATGGACTAAGGCTTCGTGATCGGTGATCACATCGAACTTCTGGCCTAAGAGCTCTGGGTAGAAGTGCTCTAGACTCTGTACGACGGCGAGGAGCTCTCGATCTTGGATTGGGTAGGCTCGCTCGGCCGGGGTCATGGTCTTAGAGAAGAATCCAACGGGCTTCCAGGTCTGATCAGGCTGTTCCTGCCATAGAACACCAGCTGTGGCATTCCGGGAGGCATCGGTCTCCAGTCGGGTCGGCAGTTCTGGTCTAAAGAAGGCGAGGACCGGGGCTTCGATAGCCAGGCGCTTGAGTTGATCAAATGCTTCGCGTTGCTCCGGGCCCATCACAAAGGCAACATCCTTCTTAAGCAACCGGTTCAAGGGTTCTGCCACTCCGGAGGCGTGGTAGCAGAAAACACGGATGAAGTTGCATAGGCCAACGAATGATCGGATCGCGGTGCGGTCTCGGAGGTCTTCAAACTTCCAGTCTTGTATCGATCGAACTTTCCGAGGGTCGACACTAAGGCCCACACCGGCTTCAAGCAGAACGCCGAGGTAGTCAACCTTGGTCACGTTAAATCTAGACTTCTTGATGTCTCCCTGGAGGTTGGCCTGATGGAGTCGCCAGATCACTTCTTGACAGTCTTTCCAGTGGTCTTCTTCTTTATCCGAGTAGATCAGGACGTCATCTGCGTAGGCGCTGGCGCACCGGTCGAGGAGATCGTGAAGCTGCGCGTTGATAAACTGCTGGAACCAGGCGGGACCTACCTTCAGACCGAACGGGAGGACTTTCCAGCGGAAAGTTCCGAAACGGGTGCGAAAGGCGGTCAAATACTCGGAGTCAGGGTCCATGCGGAGACGGTGGAAGGCCTGGATCACATCGATCTTCGTAAAGCGTTGAGCTTCACGGCAACCGAAAGCAGTACCTTCGAGGGACGGAGCGGGCGTGATGCGACTTTAAGATGATCGTTCATCCAACGGTAGTCGATGCAGAAGCGGCGGGCGGTCGTGTTCGGTTTCGGAGCGAAGAGGACGGATGCGGCGTGCGGACTCGGATCGGGCTCGATGAAGTCTATCTCCGGAGGTGATCGACAGTCTCTTTCTCTAGAGGCAGATACTTAACGGGCGTGCGGTACGATGGGGTCCTGTCGGCGAAAGAGGCTTCTCAAGCTCTAGGACTACATCGTGACCGGGTCGGCTCGAAGGTAGGGTGTGGGCCTCTTTCTTCGAGAAGAATCCTCTAGATGGGTGAGCTGGGGCGGTAGACGACTACGGACACAAGCAACATGCTCAGGGTCTTCTCCTGAGGGAACGGAATGCTTTGTCCCTGGTAGGTCTTCTGATCCGGGAGACTTTAGCAATGGTTCGAGCACTAGGGACGGTCTGGTCAAGGCCGGAGCTTGGCTCGAGCTGGACTGGATCCCGGGCATCAACGGTTCGAGTTCGTTCCACTGTTCGAATCTCTCGTGAGACTCTACTTGGCAGACCAGAGCGTTAATCAGGGCTTGATCTTCGGAGGCTTGGACCGAGGCGACGGAGACGAAGTCGGTAGCAGGGGCGGTCGTGAGCTGAAAACGGACAGACTTCTTGGCAGACGGAGACTTGGACTGAAACGACGGAGACGGAGTCGGTAACGGGGTCGGGACAGAGGCCGGAGGAGCTTGATCAGAGCGGCGCCAGTTCTTGTGGAGGATCCGGTAGCGTTTCTCCTCTTTCTCGAGCAGGCGGTTCCGCCTCTCAGCGTCGGCCTGGATCTTAGGGTCGATCCGACCCGAGAGCGGGGCTTGACCCGAGGGCTGGATCGTCGGGGAGAACTTGGCGAGGCAGGAAGATCATCTGGCCAGATGATCTGTCGGGCGGCGCAGTCAAGCAGGAGGCGCTTCTCCCGCATCCAGAAAAGACCGATAAAGATATCATGGCCACACTCAGCTATATCAAATGTCTCGTTTGCGAACGAACGGCCATCGATGACGAAAGTGGCGACCAGCTGTTTCTGGATATAGCCGGCTGGCTTTCCACGGAAGTCTTGGAGGGGAATCCGACTCGGGAGCTCCTTAATCTGGGCTCCGAGTCTTTGGGCGGCGGACTGGGCGAAGGTTGGGCTAACCAGCAAACGGGTTTCGGCTCCGGTATCACAGAGGGAGCGGGCAGGTAGGCTCACACCATCCACTTGGACTTGACTTGGCTGAGTGAATGACTTGCTAGACCTACTCGCTATCTGTGACACCTTAGGGACCATCAAGGAGACTTGTGATGGTCCTATTCGTTTCCCGAATCTTGATCAGAGTCGTTGGCAGGGACAGGGACGAAGGCGACACGGGAGACAGCATGGGTGCGGTCGGGACACTCGCGAGAGAGGTGCCCTGTTTTTCCACAAATAAAGCAGGTGCCATTATCCCAATGGGCCCTTTTCTCATCGTCGGTCAAGGCTCTGCCAGCATCACGCGAGGTGATAGGGTCGAGCCGGTCTTGTTCGGAGTCTTGGCGGTAGTCGGAGCAGTCTTAGTCGGCGCGCGGCGAGATCGGTCGGAAGAGCGGGAGTCCTGTGTCTGCCTCATACTCCTCTTCTGGCAGTGGACAGCGTCCTTAATGAACCCACAGAAAACCTCGTAGGTCACGGACTCGTCACGGGTCTTGGTCAAGAGGCTGTTATCTAGGTTGGCCGGGATGTGCTGCCACAAGGTATGCTTCATCTGGTCCTCGGGCACACGACCGGTCGCAGTTAAGTAGTCAAATTCCGCAAGAAAGTCCACAATGTCGGTCTTCCCATTCACGGTAAACTGGAGGCGTTGCAGGCGGTCAAGAGCCTCGGAAAGCTCATTCGGATTGCCATAGGCGGACTCAAGGGCTTGGATCATCTCTGCCACTCCAGAGAAGGGTCGAGTGTCAGAGGAGAAGCGGGTTTCAAGTGCTCGGCGGGCTTTTTTCAGGATGAAGGAATGGAACTCGTCCTTCTTCCTGAGAACGTCGCGAGACCTTGATGCGCGATTTGGCGGCGTCGCTGTACTCGGGGTTCTTGCCCTCTGGGAAGGGGGCAAAACAGGCCAGGCAGCTTTGCCTGTTGGTCGGAAGGCCGGGCCATTTGGGCCGGCAAAAGCAGTCGAGGGCTCCCGGTGCTGTCGATTTGATTCAACAGACGGAGAGCGTTCATTTAGACGGGCCGTTAAGGCCGCAATCTGTCCTCATCTCGCGGATGAGAGCGTCTTGGGCTCGGGGCAGCCATGGCTGCTATTTCGGATTCAGTGGCTTGGCCAGCAAGCCGGGCAGAACGGCGAGGCTGATCAGAGGGCAGGGCTTCCTCGGATATCATAGTCTCGAGGTCAGAGTCTAGGGTCGGAAATGATACCACGCGGAATCACGGTCAGATGCCTGCACGAGCAGGGACGGTCGGAGGTCAGACGGGACGAATCCCTTGGTCGGAACGGTTGGTCGGACGACTACACACACGCGTAGTCTTGGTCGGAACGGACGTGATCTCAGCCTTGAGGATCACTTGGTCGGTGGTCGGAGTCTTGGTCGGAACGGTCAGAACGGATGCGCTGGATTTACGTCAGGCGCGTGTGACGTGAAAGCTCGGTGCCTATTTGCTTAATCGCTGGCAAGCGATCTTATTGAGCTTTGAGTAGTGTTACGGCCAGGCACATACGAGCCTTGACGGCTATAAAGATGTATTGGCACTATGAACGAAGACTCAAAGCTAAGGAGCAAGAAAGAAAGACTAGACTACACGACCGAGCTGGCCCTTATGTGCATATGCACGAGGTTACCTCAGCAGCGCTCAGGTAAGCACGAGGTCGCACGTGGGCACGTGATGCTGCTTGGGCACGTGACACTGGTGAGGTTCTGCGCTGGTGTCTCTACGCTGGCGCGCAGGGTCGTGACATATATAAGGATCCCGCTAGATAAAGTCGTAAATAGGATCGTTAACGCCGAGCTATAATAGAAATTCGCTAAGCTCTAGGTTAGAGATAAGAACTATATAGGAGAACTATACGACCTTCTTAATAATAAAGTCCGGATCTTTATAAGTATATACTATACTCTTTAAGCCACGCCCGATAAATTCTATGCCCTCTTCCCTGTCACGACCCTGGGCGCCAGCGTAGAGCCGCCAGCGCAGCACCTCACCAGTGTCACGTGCCCAAGCAGCATCACGTGCCCACGCGCGACCTCGTGTCTATATAAGGGCCCGCTCGGTCGTGTAGTCTAGTCTTCCTTTCTTGCTCCTTAGCTTTGAGTCTTTGTTCATAGTGCCAATACATCTTTATAGCCGTCAAGGCTCGTATGTGCCTGGCCGTAACACTACTCAAAGCTCAATCTTCGCGTGCCCCGCGAAACAAATATAGGCCCAAGTTATCTATCCACCCACTTTCATTAACTGTACACCCAAAAAGTGGATTAACTGTGGCTGACGGCCGAAGAGGGCCGATACCGCCAATTTGTATGCACACATTCTCTACGATAAGTAGAGCCAGGTAGTAACAGTTCTCCTTCAACGATAAGGCACCCAAAATTGAAGCTATTCGTACTGCGCTTTCTATGCTGATGAGACTATTCTTTGGTGTTTACAACAGGCCTCCTTCTTCGAGTGCACTACGTGCCTGATCCGCTTCATCTAACTGTGATTCCAATTGATCCCATACATCCTCAAGGGCGGCATCGTCCGTGAGGCCGGCGACGAAGATGCAGTCTTGGGTCTCCCGCCGTACCGGCTGATCGTCATCATCAGAGACTGGCGTTTGACGCCCGGCTTGTTGATACGCCCGTTGCATCCGTGTGCCTGCCTCGTACGTATCGCCGTTTTCCTCGATGTGCCGCAGCCCTCGTTCCGTTGAAGTCATCGCGGCCGTTACCGTACCCGTCATCGCCGCTGGTGCCGTTGAGGAGGAGGCAGTCGTATAGCCTCAGCCCGCTCATGCCGTTCAGCGATCTCGTGATGTGACGGATCCCGCCGCGTTGATCTTGACCGCCGTGACTCTTCGAGGTTGAGTGAGCCCTTGGGGCGGCCCTTAGCCCTGATAACTTGTGGCTCGTATGGTGCCCGAGTAGGGCTTGTGCCCTGAGCGCTTGTATCGATCGGAATATACCAAAATGGGTCGAAGTCGTCGAGTGTAAGGGAGGTATTGGTGTTGATAGACTCGAAGATTCGATGGCAGCACGGTAGCCCTCGACTAGTAGCCCAATTACAAGGACATTGACCTGGCGGCGGTTTGGCCCGTTGACTTCGGGGTCTAGAGGATCTTGCGATGCTCATCTATTAGTAGCTTTAACGCATATGACGATACTCGCTCGCGGATCGGCATATACGGCGCCTGTAGGGAGAACGTTGATATCTTGTGGAGGTTTCGATTCTCTATCGCTGTGATCTGAGCAGCCTGATGGCCCCAGAAGCGTTCGAATCGTTGGAAAACGGTCGTCAAATCGCCCGTACAGGACCAAAGGAACTTCTTCATATGAGAGTGAAGTCCCTCGACGATCGAGGTCGTTGTACGCCCGAAGTGGCGATATTGATTAACGAAACAAGATACAAACTTCTCCTTCCAAGGCGTTAGCCACGTATTGCAACAGTATTGTATAGCTGCAAGCGGGTGGCGGCCTGGTGTCTCAAATTGGCGTAAACGTTCGTTGAAGCTATTCACATCTTGTGACTTGACGATCTCGTTCCACTCTTGTAGAAACGCTTGGAATGCCGGGGCCCGTACGACTCGATTGCCGATTTTTGATGCCTTAGGGAAAATTGCTTGCATTTCGCAACGACATTCTGGTTAATATGCCACGTGCAGAGAAGGTTAGTACTGTTTTGAAGCTCGCGAAAGCTATCTAACGCCTTAAGCAACGCAGTATCTCGGTCCGTGACAGTGACCCTTGAAATGGGATCGACTCCTTCTCGCAAAGGACTAGCAGCAACGAGATAGCCCAATAGTAATGGGACTCGGTCTCGCCGTTCAAGAAGATAGAGGCAATAGAGAACGTTTTGTTATCTCGAGTGGCCGCGCAGATATTCAATAACGGCATATTGAATCGGTTCGTCTTGTAGGTACAGTCGAGGACGAGGACATCGTGATGCTGACGCCATCGATGGAAGGTAGCACGAGGCGCGAGAAATAGCCCAGTTAGCCGGCCCTGGGGATCACGACTATCTCGATGAAAGAAGTCGGACTTATCTAGCCGGTCGTAGAGAAACTGAAGAGGCGTACGGCCAGCTAGTTCTTCCTGACGGTGCCTAGCCAAGGCGTTACTCACGTCTTGAGCCGTGATACCGGCTAAACGAGGATCGTCGTGAACCAGGTCACGAAGCTCGCCAGCAATATCGGTCGGCCGGGTATTGTTATTAAACTTCCGGATAATGTCGTCGCGATACTTCTGGATAACAAGCGCCCGGTACTTCGGAAAGACCATCGGGTCATCAACAAGGCGATGATTGTGAACATCGTGAAGATAAGAGATAGTCCAGTAACCGCGTTTTTCCTTCAACGAGAGGCGAAATTCACAGTCTGTTTTCTGGGTTGCTGTATTGAGGCGACGACGAGAGATATGAGCAGCTTTATCCTTCCGATTTTCGTAGGGGCCGGCCTTGATACAACGAACAAGTGCAGACTTGCGTTGGCCAGCGTTATCCCGCTTCGATGTTCGAATGTGTAGGGCGTAGCCTCAGCCTCAGCAACGGTATCGGCGGCTTCCATCGCGGCCTGGAAGGTCGGGAATAGTGTCTTCGTAAGCGACTCCATGATTCGGGCTCGTAAGGGCAGAAAACGCGGTGCGAATAGCTTCAGTTTTGATGGTATTGCTGATAGTTACGGTTACAGGATGTTGTTACGCAAGCATCACGAACTGGCCAGCTGGCCGGCCGGAATGGGCGCACCAAAATTAGCGGCATCGGCACTGCGCCTGACCCAGCCACAGTTGATCCACTTTTGGTGTACAGTTAATAAAAGGAGGTGTATAGATAATTGGGCCCTATTTATACAGGAGGTCTTAGGGACTTCTGGGGACCTCCTGAGTAATGGGCTCTACCCACGCATACGTGGCTGTGCCCACGCATAAAGGGTTGCCTTCCTTACTCAGGAAGTCCTCATGCGTTCCTGCTACATGGGCCAGGAATCCCTCTCCGGGTCCCTCCCTAACAGGGCTACCCTGGTCCACTGACACACCCCCTTTTGTAGCAGGCTCTGACGGCCTGGTGCAAAACAGAAGAAGACAACTACTCGTCCCACAGACCCACGTAAAGTGGGTCCTCACCACCTGGCTGTGTCAACCACCTGGCTGTGTCACTTTACGGCTTCAACGCCAACTTAATTTAATAATAAAACGGCAAAAAAAGTTAAAAATTGATGCATACGATAATTGAATACTGGCCGCAATAGTCTACCTATTTTTGACCTTTGTAGCTTATAAAGCTGATCGTTGGGCTTCTTTTTCGGCTTTCTTAGCCGCCCGGCTGCCCGTCGCTCCTCGAGCTCAATCGCCCTTTTCTCCTCTTTGCTTCGCCAGTACCAACTTTTCTGCTTTTGCAATGCGAATATCTTCCTTTGACTTCGCAATAGCCCTCCTTCGTCTACAGTCAGTACTCCACCGCTTTGAAGGTGGCGGTTCTTGTATTTCTTCCGGCCTTGGCGTTGCTGCTCGGCAAGCTTGGTATTGTACAGATCGACCATCGTTTGCTTTAACTCGTGGCCTTGGGAGATTGCACCTTTAACGTAGCGTTGAAGGTTATGTACGAAGACCTCCTTCTCAATATCATCAATTGGGTCAAACTCAAGGAGACGTTGGCCAACTGATTCAAACTTCCGTACGGTATGGGGTACCAAAGGGGATGAATACGGCTCTGCAGGTAGCTCTGTCGGCGGCGTCTGGTCCCGTACCCTCTTTGAGTCTCTCGAGGATTGGCTTTGGATTGAATGGGTGGATTCCTGTTCTTGAATGCCGAGAGGATTGTAGACTCCTTGAAGGCTTTGACGCGGATTGATTGGATCATAGCGAGGAACTCCAGCTTGGTGATTTTACTCGCACCACTGCGAATAGCAAAATCGACTGCCCGACTGTGGTAATGTTTATACGGCTGAAATACCACGACGTCAAGCGGTTGAAGGAGATGCGTAAGATGCGGAGGCAATGCAAAGAGCACAATATTATGGGCTTCAGCGTACTCGATAAGGTCAAGGGTATGGTGGGAGCCGTGGCCGTCAAGGAGCAATAGCCTCCAAGCACCTTTGCTCTTTGCATGCTTATCGAAATGTTGAATCCACGCTAGATTGAGCTGATCGTTCGTAAATCCCGTTTCCGTAACACCAATAAGGGTATCGCCATCTAGCTCCTTGATGCCGTACCACTGTTCGAGGTGGACCTTGCCGGATAGGATCAAAAACGCAGGGATGTATCGACCATCGGCAGAAATCGCTTCAACGGCTGTTGCCGACTCTCTGTTTTCCTCAATACCAAAGTATTGCGATCGCCTTGATTTCGTGACGACAACTTGGTCCCTGCCAATACCAATACGGAAGCCCGTCTCGTCCATATTCCAGATATCAGCCGGGTTAATCCCGTACGAGGCAATCGTCTCGTGGAGCTTCTTGAAGTACTCGGTAACGTGCGGGACTGATTCGGCAAGCTTGCGTTGGTTATCGAGTACCTTTTGCTTCATAATATGATATCCCTTGCGTTTAATAAAACGGGATATCCAGTTTTTGCCAACAAAGCATTGGGAGTCGAAGGGTTCGTTGCGGGTACCATCAGGGCCGACCGTGGAGCTTAGAACCCGATTTGCTGCATCGCGTAATAAGTCCTTCCGCACCGCAAGTCCTATACGCTCAAGACGATCGATATACAGATCGATTGAGTCCTCTTGAGCTGGCGATAGCCTCGTATGCGTTGCTTTATGGCCGCTGCGAGGTTGGATGCCGTGAAATCGCAAGCGGAGTCGTTCGCGTGCAGCGCTCCTAATAGTGCAGACCGTTTAGCGCACTATTAGTGCACACTGCAGTTTGCACTGCTTAGTCAGCACACTGCCAGTGCAGTGTAACCGTTTGGCAACGCACTGCTGGTCCAGTGAGGCCTCCCCCTCCACACTGCTGGTTCAGTGAGGCTTCCCCCGCCACACTGCTGGTTCAGTGAGGCTCCCGTCAAACTGCCCCATAGTTCAGTGCGAGCGTCGCGCACTATCAGTGTCACCATCAGTGTGACGAGTGTGACGAGTGTGATAGAGCTAAACTTGGACGTTTGACCATTAACTTAATTCCTGGCCTACTTACAACGAGTCAATCGCTGATTAAACGGCGGGATGCGTTCTTGCTCAATTTTACAAACCATCTAGCTCTTACGAGATATCCAAGTGTTGCCAGGGCAGAACGAGCCTCTGCGTAGCTTTCATCTCCTGTCTTTAGGGTAGTATCTGGTCACACTTCCCATACTCTCTGCTAGGCAGAACTTGACGTTGAAGCCTTTGATGCCTTGCACCCGTGCGATTGGATTGTTTTGGCTGAGATCCATAAATTCCTCGAGCCCTTTCACGACGCTACTATTGCCAACGAAAGCTGGAAAAAGTCCATTTCCGATGTCCTACCTACCATGGACTACCTTTTGCACCATATCGAAGCAGCCAGAAATACGACCGATATACCTCACCTAGCCACGATGATGGAGACAGCATGGGCAAAATTAGCCGACTACTACGAGCTCACAGAAGATTCACCTGTCTATTCGGCCGCGACAGTCTTGAATCCTTCTCTCAAATGGACATACATGGAAAAGACCTGGGAAGACAGGCAAGAGTGGATTGAAAGAGCGAAGGCTCGCGTTGGGCAGTTGTGGAGAGATGAATACAAACCGGCCTCGCAGTGCTGCATTACCAGACCAATTCCTGAACAAAGACCAGATGCAAAACGGCCAAACGGATACAAAATATGGATGAAAGAGCAGAAGGCTACGATTTTCAGCATGGATGATGACGAGTATGATGTGTACTGTCGCGAACCTGTAATCATGGTATCGGATCCGCTCAAATGGTGGCTGGATCCAGCGCAGCGGCGACGATTTCCCGGCCTATCCTTGATGGCTATAGACATTCTGTCAATCGCGCCGATGTCGGCGGAAACGGAGCGACTCTTCTCTAAGGCTAAGTTATCAGTGACCGATCAGCGAGGTTCTATCAACGTCGAAACACTCAATCTTCTGGAATGCCTCAGGTCTTGGGATAATAGCGCACTGATACTTCCGACAGAGGTAAGTTCCCAACCAACGAAATGGAGACCAGCTTCTTACGAGTGCATTTCAAGTGTCGATACATGGACGGCAGCCACGACACCTTCGAACGCGTCAGCTCTGAAGCCTAAGATTCAGGTCTCGAGGACGAAAGTCAGCATCGGCTTGGTAGAACGTGATGCATTTGAAGCAATGAGGATTCATGGGCACATGGGCGGCCTAAGGCGGAAATAACGTCTTGACTTCAATCATGCGCGCCAAGCCTGTATTTTATATATCGCACTGATAGTGTAAACTGCAGTTCGCAGTGCAGTGCAGTTTGTCGCTGACGAACGGACGGACAGTTTGGTTTGGCCATCTGGTCTGCACTGCCACAGTTTGGTTTGACCATGTGGGCTTGCACTGCCAGTTCAGTGCGCCCTGGCCGAGTGCACTGGCAGTTTGGTCCAGTGGCGTCACACGCACTGAAGGGGCCGTTTGGGGTGTTCACACGCACTACTTGCACTATTAGGAGCCCTGTTCGCGTGGAACCCCAAATTCCTTAGCCGCAGCGCGAAGGGACATATTGGGATTTGCCTCAATGGCTTTAATAGCCTCGGCTACGCGCCTTTCAAGCGTAAGCTCTTTATTCTTCATAATGTGCCGTTGTTGAGGTCAAGATAGAGGCTTGAAGCGGTGAAGTGACACAGCCAGGTGGTTGACACAGACAGGTGGTGAGGACCCACTTTACGTGGGTATGTGGGACGAGTAGCGGCAGATAAACAAGTGAGGCTATTCGTTATGTTGGAAAGCCGTGATAATGCTGTTTGTATGGTGTTGAGACCATAAAGTAATGATGACTCGTGAGATCATATTCTTTAGTGTTGTGGAACTCCTAGGCTTTCTGCACACCTAGTCATCCCCCGGCAAGAGTGCCCCTATGTCACCCCCTGAGGGAGTCGGTCGCTCTTGCATTCCGAGTTGGCGGACGAAGGCATCGTGTTTCTGTCGGGGTAGGGCCTTCGTCATTCCGTCAGCCGGGTTCTCGCTTGACTTGATCCATTTGACACGGAGCCTTTCTTCCTGGACCGCCTGACGGAGCCAGTGCCTGTGGATGTCAACGTGCTTGAGGCTTGTTTTGAGCCTAGCACTCAATTCCGTGAGTAGCCTGATGGTCTGGAGGTTGTCACACCATAGCTCGTCGGTCCCTTCCACTTGGATGCCTAGCTCGTCAATAAGGCGACCAAATTGCATTTGTTCCTTAGCCGTACTTGTCAGGGCTAGGAGCTCTGCTTCCGTGGACGATGTGGTGACTGTAGCTTGCTTCGTGGCCTTCCAGTCAATAGGGGCCTGAGGAATAGGAACACATAGCCCTGTGATGACTTCCTCGTTTCTGGGTCGTCTGCAAAGGAAGAATCCGAGGCACAGACGAATCGGCGAGTAGATTCGGTAGCTGTAAAGCAGAGGCATCGATCCCTCGTGTGATAGAGGTATGCGAGGCACCTTCGAGCCTCACGTTGATGCCTTGGTCCCGGGTTGTAGCCAAATTGGGCCAGCTTTCCGACTGGGAAAGCCACGTCAGGTCGTGTGTGTATAGCTGGGTGTAGGATTGAGCCGACGATCGATAGGAATTTGTGTACTTCTTCCTTTCTAGCCTTTTTCTCGTAGGGCCTCAATTCGTCTGTTGTGACGGGAATGACGGGTATCCCTATAACGTTATTGTCATCGTTAATGTGGAATTTCTGAGCCATCTTAGAGAGGTAGGAAGCCTGTGAAAGCCACAGCTTCTTTTGGGCCCTATCCCTGATGACCTCGATCCCTAGGAACCAGCGTAATTCACCCATGTGGTTAATAGTGTATTTTTCCATCAGTGCATTGTGAACGTGTTCCCAGCTAGCCTTGTGACTAGAAGGATACATCATGACGATGTCATCCACGAAGAAGAAGATGATAATCCCTTTATACACCATAACACAGGCGTCTTCCACGAGCTGTTGTGCTCCAAGGCTCTTGAAGAATCCCGTGAGCTCTTCATACCATAGTTTCGGAGCTATTCGTAGCCCGTAGATGCCTTTCAGAAGCTTTAGGCATAGCCCCGGCTCATTGAAGCCCGGTGGGAGCTGGCAAAAGACTGCTTGTCGAAGCCTATTGTAAAGGAATGCGGTTTTCACATCGTATTGCTCGGTCTCAAGGTCCTCAAGGCAGCAGAGCGCCATCATAAGGCGGAACGTTCGTGCCCGGAGGGTTGCAGCGTATGTATCTTCATCGTCTTCTGGCTGCTGATCTCCACGGACCACAAGCCGGGCTTTGAAGCGTATCACATATCCTTGTGGATCAAGCTTGTAGGCAAAGACCCAACGCATGGGGATAAGGAACTGGTCTGCCGCGTCTTTCTTGAGGAATTTGACCCATGTGCAGAGCTTCTCTTGATCCCTGATTTCCGCAGTCATTCCTTCCATCCACTCAGGGGCATATGCCGAGGCCATCGCTTCCTTGTAGGAATTTGGCACTGGTGGCATATCCTCTATGTGGAGCCTGTGCTTTGAGGCATTGGCAATGACATTGTTGATGAAGGGCTTCTTCGCGCGGCGCTCTTTTCCTGTGAGCATATTGCTTGAGTCCACCCCTGAGACGTGTCCCTAGCCTTCCGAGCTCTCCGTGGCTCGGGCTCTGGCTCGGGTTCCAAGGCTAACTCCGCATCTTGTGTTATGGATCTATGACCACCCCCGACGGGCTCACCCTCTGGCTCTGAGTCTGATAGCTCTGTAACCCGGTCACCCCCCAGGTCGGCGAGGGGCTCATTCGATTCGTCGCGAAGGGGCGTTCCCAGCGTGATGACGGGTTCCTCGTCGGGCTGTCTGGTTGGAGAGCTAGAAGTGGGTGAATTCGGCTGCCTGTTCTCCCAACCGTGGTACGGGACTGGCTGCAAGTGGGCATTAGGGCTTACACCCTGTGGTGGCGGGGATGATACCGCGGCGCTCCCTTCCGTGCGGGAGGTGAGACATAGGGTTCTTGGGTAAACCTGACCTCTTTGCCCTGCCTGGTCGTTGCGGAGGGTTCTGCTGATGGTCCTGGCGTGGCTGGCCTTGCCTCATGGCTTTCCTCTTCATCAGAGTGCCCATATAGCTCGACTTCGTCAGGGTCCTCATCGTCAGGGACGTCCACAGCGGCCATTTGGCGCAACACATCGTATGTGTACACACAGGCGGCTTCAGCTGTTTCTTCCTAGCCGGGTCATACATCGCCGACTCGTCAAAGCGAACGTTCGCAGAGACTAGCAGCTTCGTTTGCCCAATCGAAGGCATCCACACGATGTATTGTTGGCTTGACTTGTAGCCCACAAGGTAGCCGATATGTGCCCTCTGTTGCATGGCCGGCTGGCTCTTGTGGGACTTCACATGTTCTAGCGCCTCTATCGTCATAGGATAGGCCACACAGCCGAAGACTAGAAGGTGTGAGATATCAGGCGAATTTCCTTGATGTGTGCGTATAGGGGTTGTATTCCTTCATGTAGGTCCACCAACGCTCGAAAGGGCTTCTCCATGAGTTATCCTTGCCTTCGAAAGGGGTTCTATTTAGCAGATAAACCGCTGTTTTGTAAGTTTCTGGCCAAAGCTTCTCAGGAAGGTTTGCATCAAGCATCATAACCCTTCCTTTCTCTTTGACCACAGCCCCTGACCTTTCGGCATGACCGTTCTGTGTGGGCGTTGATGGGGCTGACACAAAGACCTGTGCGCCAAGCGCTTCAACATACTCGATCATGTCGTTCGTTATCAGGGCCTTCTCCCCGTCACTAACTAGGATGATCATTTCTATCCCATAGCGTGCCTTCATCATCCTAATCAGCTTCTTGAGGGCTGATCGGACCCCTGTTTTATCCTTGACCAGGTAATAGAAGCGCATGCCCGTTGTCATGCAGGTAAAGAGGGCAAAGTGCTTGAAGCCGCTGTAGCCGGGAACTGGCCCTGGGTGTAGGTCAAAGCTGAATTGGACCCCTGCCCTTGTGGCCGGAAAGTGGGCTCTGCTCGCGAGACTTCCTGCGAGCCTTGCCTGTTGCACAGACTTCGCACTCGCATCCAGATGGTCCACTCAATCTTGTGCCAAGGCATTGAATCGAGAGCTTCTCAAGGGCCCCTGGACCAGGGTGCCCAAGGCGTCGATGCCACAAGTCACCCGGGCCCTCCATTCGGGGCCTTGGTTTCCGGCTTGTAAGGAAAACACTATTGCGATCCTTTCCAAGGCTCGCGATGACGTATTGGCCTCGAAATCTTCCAGTTGCGTAAGCTGACGGCCCGTAGGCTCGTAATAGAGCGTGCCGTTGATTTGGTTCCAATAGACCTTGGCCTGAATCCCTTGTCGTGCCGAAAACACGCTTGTGGGCATCTCGGGGATGTAATAGCTATTGTCAAGGTGTAATTTAACCCCTTGGTCTAGCATAATCACTGCCGAGCCCACCCCTGAACTTGGAGGAATTTTCCCAGCTCTGACTTCCTCAGTTGATCCCCAGGTGAAGGACTCCTCCTTGAACCACCTTAGGTCATTGAAGACATGAACGCTTGCCCCTGAATCGTAGATAACTTTATCAACGAGGGGCTCGCAGTTCTGTTGCATGTGGTGAACCCGGAGACTGTATGAACCTTGCCCCCAGCGTTGCCACTGCCGTTGTTGTTTGGGATCGTGATATTGTTGTCGGATCCCTCTTTTATCTGTGGCTTCCATGCCAGAGCCTTTTCCTTCTCGTGAGGATTCTCTTTGAAGCGCTTAGTGATACGAGCCTTCTGATCTTGGGTTGGATTCCAGCCCTCAGGGGGTCCTTGTTGAACATCACCCTGAAGGTCCAGCAATTGACCCACCAGTCATCTTTCTTGACGACGTGGCTTCCACAGGCTGGACACTTTTTCCGGGTGGTCCCGGCCCCTTGTTGTTGTAGGCGTTTGGCCTGCTTGATTGACGGTCTTTGTTGGCTTCCCTTTTCCTGATCCCAACCTCCTTTTGAAGTCTGCAATAACTGTTCGGAGCGGCGTTTCAGGGGCATTTAGGCGTTGAAGCAACAAGTCATCAGACCGTACGTTCGAGGCCCATGTGACATCCCAATCCTCGAGGGCCTTGAGGAAGTCCTGCCTAACTTCCTGCACGACTATCCCACAAACCAGCTACGCAAGGGCAACTTCGTCAAGGTTCCACTGCTGGTCGGTGTCACCACTGATGAGGGTGGTGGTTTCGTGACCGATTCGACAAACTCGGATGAAGACGTGCGAGAAGCCCTCAGGGCGCAGCTCATATCGAACAACACGGCAGAGAACGTCGACCAGCTGCTGAAAGAGCTGATGTACTTGTACCCGAACATGCAGTCTATCGGCATTCCTTCGCTCAAGACGTGGTCTCATATTATCCAGCCAGGTGATGCGGGCAGCCCGAATCTGGGGTCGCAATATAGGCGCATGGCAGCTATTGTCGGGGACATGACAATCGGTTGCTTGTCACAACTGTGAGCTGTCGGTCATGAAGGCCTAGAGGTACACACCTCAGGGCCATGGCGATTGCCTTGAGTCCTGCTGTGTAGGTATTCTGCTCATCACTGGAGCCAAGGGTGACGGAGTAGCTGGCCAGCACCTCGTCTGCGCTGTCACGGGAAGCATCCCGAACGACGCCTCCCAACCCGACCTTGCCTTTCCTTTGCGAGCTGGACGTCGCGATAGTGATGTCCTCCGGGTCATCCGACTTCAGCACCTCCGCTCGGTCTGCCTCGTACGTTGCCTGCACTCGTTCGTCCCACGGCGCCAGTGCGAACTCGTGGATGACTTCCAGGCGTTTGGTATCTAGTCTTCCCATCGCCGAGGCGAGCTTCTGCATTGGCGACGCATACCTCCTGTTCAGCTTGAGCCTCAACGATGTCAGAGGATGCGTCTTCGGGAGCGTCCGCATCCTTATCCAGAATTTCGCTGCCTGTGTGTGTCTCTTGTATGTATGTGTATTTCACCCGGAGGATTTCTCCTATAGGGCCTAGACGTAAAAGCTACTGACATTTCAATACATTAATGCGTAACACCTTAAGCCCCACGGGTCAGCATACGCTACACCAACCTCGCCGCTACTCGCTCCGTGACAGGCCTGCTTGAAGGCCAATTTCTCCAAGTGTTCAGCGTCCTACCTTCAGCAGCTGAAGCGCGGTTTCCGCTGCTTAGCCCGAAGGGCCAGACGCTGCCTGCGTCTCATCCCCAGGGTTCCGCGCCCGACAGTTCCGGCTGTACGATTCGTGTGGTCCACCGCAGGGCACGCACTTTGGCACTGTCTCCTTGCATTCTCTGTGGTGATGTTCTGCTTTCGCGCATCTGCCACATCTTTGCGGCTTCTTGCATGAAAACGCCTTGTGTCCCATCTCTTGACAGTTGAAGCACTGAATCGGTCCTACGCGGCGTTCAAAAACATTGGTGCAGGCGGACTCTCCCGCAACATCGAACCACACGCCGTCCAGAAGTCTTTGCGCGTCACTCTCTTTAGTGACATAGATCACCATTGACCCGTACGCTTTGGCTTTCTCTCTGTTGCTAAGCCAGGTGATCTTGGCAATCGTGACGTAATTCTCGGCTCCGAGCGCCTCAGCTGCGCCCGGCAGAACGTTGCCTTCGGCGTCCAGCACTGCGGTACGCTTGGTGTTGTCGACTTTGACAGGGTAAAGCTGATCTCTCAGTACCCTGGCTCCCGAAGTTACCGTCTTCTGCGCTGCTTCCTTGACCTGCTTCAACTCGGTTTGGTCTCTGCATAAAATTTTGATCCGGTCGGGGTTTCGAGCGTCTGTCACGACCGCTGCGCATTTCCAAGTCTCCTGCCTCTGACTCTTTCTCATGTCGCTCTCTATGGCTTTTCGGATGTTGCCGATCTGCGTCTGGCACCTGTTCGCTTCTTCGACTCGTGATGTGTCCACCGTACAGTAGAGACTATCGCTGACGGCTGTTCGTGCCGATTTAGCTGCTGGTACGGTGCCCCGGTTCATTGTCTGGATCGTCGGCGATGGCCCTGCAGCGCTCGCATACGACATCTGCGGACTGCTCTGCAGAGAAGATGCGGGCGTAGCCAGGGTCTCTAACTGCGCTCGGATGTGACGAAGCTCATCTCTCATCTCTTTCCCTTGTTGATCCATTTCCTGGATCATCTGCTGTTGCTTGATATGATCTCGTTTTGCGCATCTATCGCCCGGCTGAGCTTTTGCGTTTCTTGACGTGACTCGCTCAAGAGTTCGAGAACTTTCTGGAGCATGGCTCGGCCTTCGTTCGCGCCACTGCTGCTGCTGGCAACTTTGCGCCGCTCAGTCGCGTCACTGATGGCGACATCATCCGAGGCAATGCGCGTTGCAAGCCTAGTTGTGCGTGTTGTCTTCTCCACCAGATCGTCGGGCTGTCGCGCGGCTTCTCGAATTTTGGTGCTTGGCCTCACGACGCGTGTCGATCTTTTCGCGGGTGTCGACGCAGGCGACGCGCTTCGCCCCACCATGATCACGGCCTCAGCCGGCGTCTCCATGATGAGGCCCCTCAATGCCTAGCTGGCGTTCGCTTCACGGACCGAGTATTATTATTATTTGTTGGTAGGTCTCAATGCATGCATGCACAGATCTCTTTTTTTATTATTATTTTGTATTGCGCCCGGAGGGTTCCCCCATAGAGCCACTACGCTAAGCTACGTACCTACTATACATGGTTTCTCCTCACCTAAAGCCCAACGCTTCTTTCCATCTGTTTCCAGCCTCGTTCGCTGTGACATGACAGGCCTGCTTGAAGGTCAGTTTCTCCAAGTGTTCAGCGTCCTACCTTCAGCGACTGAAGCGCGGTCTGCCAAGTTGAAGGCTGTTGTGTTAGTATGGTTGTTCTTGATCAGTACATGGCCCGTTAACGGTCCATACTGAAGCGTTTTGTCGCCAATGCGAACTGTATCGTCGCACGCACAGCCCCAATATCAGGTTGCCACTTGTCGTCGTCTGACTCTGCCTTGCCTCCTAGGAAGAAAGACAAGTCTCCCACCTTTCCGCGCGCATATCGCAGCATGGTCTCTCGTTGTACCGTCCATCTTCTGCATCGAAAGAGGAAATGCTCCACTGTTTCTGCAGACTGCCCACAAGTGCACTCATCCGATTCCACCGCCCCGATTTTGCAGAGGTAGCTATTCAGCCGCGATTTGCCAGTTCGAAGTTGTATCAACACTTCGGATTCCTTTCTTGTTAGCTCGTCGTACAACTTGCGGGTGTGCTTGCCCGGCAATGCCTTATCGATGCGCTTTGAGTGCTTTCCAACCCCTTCCGGGATCTGACGAACGCGAGCGTTTTCGTTGAGCAGCAGTCGTAACGTCGTTGATCTTGCTTGAAACGTTGCTGGTTCGGCGATGCACTCGTCTCGCGTCGCTCTTTCGCTTGCATTTTGGCCAGTGGCCCAAGGGTGAACTCCTCATTCTTTGCAGGCACCCAACGAAGTCTACTCTGCAGCCTCTTTTCGCCAGATACTCAACAGATCCGTATATCGCCCGTATCGTGCACTGACCAGACTGTTGCCGTGGCCGCCCGATGACTTGCAGGACAGAGCGGTTGCTCGTCACAACCGTGAGATCTCGGTCATGAAGACCGAGAGGTACACACCTCAGAGCCGTGGCGATTGCCTCGAGTCCTGCTGTGTAGGCATTCTGCTCATCACTGGAGCCGAGAGTGACGGAGTAGCTGGCCAGCACTTCGTCTACGCTGTCGCGGGAAGCATCCCGAACGACGCCTCCCAACCCGACCTTGCCTTTCCTTTGCGAGCTGGACGTCGCAATAGTGATGTCCTCCGGGTCATCCGACTTCAGCACCTCCACTCGGTCTGTCTCATCCGTTGCCTGCACTCGTTCGTCCCACGGCGCCAGTGCGAACTCGTGGATGACTTCCAGGCGCTTGGTATCTATTCTTCCCATCGCCGAGGCGAGCTTCTGCATTGGCGACGCATACCTCCTGTTCAGTTTGAGCCTCAACGATGTCAGAGGATGCGTCTTCGGGCGTCCGCATCCTTATCCAGAATTTCGCTGCCGCTTGAGCATGCCGTTCTCGGAACGATTGCACGCCGGCCTCGGCCTCGGCCACTGCCGTTGCCACCGTGCGGAAGCCTCCCGTGACAGCCTGGGCTCCGATTCGCTGGGCCCTGCCAATCCACACCGCTTCTTTCACCCGCACGCGTGCGACCACACGTTTGAGGCATAGTCCATGGCTGGCGCCACGGTCGCGACGAACAGTTGCCTCGCCATCCGTGGCGAAGCCATCTTCAGTCGTTTCAAACACATGGCCGCGGCCAGCCCCTTGGCGGCCGCTCTGGCGATGTGTTCCTTGAAGCGAAGCGCTTTGTCCATGATGACTCCCAACAGCTTCACGTTGCTCTTCGGCTTGACATCGTTTCCTTTGATGATGAGAGGCAGGTCGCTGTCACGCTCCGCGATGCGTGTGAAGTGGATGAAGGATGTCTTCTCTGCTTCAAATGTGGCGCCGCTGCGCTTCTCCCAATCAAGCGCATCATCGATAATCGACTGGATACCATCTCTGTTTGACTCTGCCGTTGGCCCCGTGACCCAGGCAGAGTAATCGTCCACGAAGGCGATGGAGCCACCGTTATTACTGATCCGTCTTTGCACCAGGTCTGCGTTGAAGAAAAGAAAAGCCACTGGCGACAGAGGAGATCCTGGGTAGGCCGGCCTGCGGCAGGGTTTGTTGCTCGGATGTGTGCCCGTTGACAACCACCGACGCGGTCCGTCCCGAGCAGAATGCGTCTATCCAATTGACCAGTCGACTCGGGATGCCTCGGGCTTTCATCCTTTCGAGCATTCGCTCTTTGCACACTCCGTTGTATGCGCCTTTGACGTCAAAGCTGATGAGGCTGAGCACTCTGCCCGTTCTCCAGGCCTTGTAGATTCGCTCCTGCAGAAGCACGAGTGCTTGATCTGCGGACCTGCGCTTCCGTGCACCAAAGTGGTTCGCGGGCAAAAGCCCTTGAGCCTCGACTGCATAGCTGATACGTTCCGCGACGACTGCCTCCAGAATCTTGCCAAGCGTCGACAGGAGAGAAATCGGTCGCCACGCCTTGGCCAGGGTGTAGTCTCCTTTATCTGGTTTCCTCAGAGGGATGATCTTGGCCGTTCGCCATTGATGAGGCACGACGCCCTCTCGGAGCGATGAGCTGAAGAGCGTCCACACCCGGTGCTTGACCACGTGCCAGAGCTTCTTCCACACGATCGCAGGAAGGCCATCCTCACCAGGCGCTTTCCAGGGCTTCGCCGCCATCACCTTCTCCTCAATCTCTTGCAAGGTGAGGTCTGGCATGGCTATTTCTTCTCTCTGCGGACGTTCACCCTCCGGCTCGATCCTCGTTGGCAGAGGCGGAAAGAAGGTGCTCAGGAGTTCCTCGGCTTGCTCGCCCTTGCTTTCGGTGATCGAACCGTCGGCTCTCTTCAGCGGGGGCACCTTGTCATCCGTCATCTCCGTACCAGGCTTCAGATACTTGGCAGCCCTCCAGATGTTGCTCCCTTCGATGACGAAGTCATCCCAATGGGCCTTCTTTTGTCTCCGCAAATTGTCGTGGTACTCCTTCGCAGCCTCCTTGGCGCGCTGCTCCAGATCCGGACGCGATTGACCGGCTCTTCGCTGCGCCCTTGCTTGATTGCGCCAATACGTGTACGTCCGACGGAGTCGCGTCAGGTCCTTTGTCCACCATCGCTTCGCGTATGGCGGCGGCTGGGCTCGAGGAGTCAGATCTCGAAGCGCCTTGGTGACCACCCGCATGAGCTGATCCGCCTGCGTCTGCACCCCCACAGTCCACGGAAGAGGCCGAAGCTCGTCCTCGACCCTGGTTGCGATGGCGATCCACGGCGCGTTCTTGAGCATCAGGCGCTGCGGAAAGGTACGCTCCGGCACTCGAATGTCGAAGGTCGTCTGGATCGCTCTATGGTCTGATCCGTGCTCTGTTGGATGAATCACGCAGGATGTCAACTCGTCCGCCAGTTCCGCCGATGCCAGCACCAAGTCGATGGTGCTCTCCTCGTCCGACCTTTGCCACGTTTTCGTTCCTCTCGGGAGAAGGCTGCTAAGACCAAAGTCGTCCATCAGGTCAATGATGGGCTGGCCCTCCCCTTGTCTGCTCGCTGACACTTCATCTCCGCCCCAGAGGAGGTCGTGGCGGTTGAAGTCCCCCGCCAAAACCACATCGGTACGTCTCCCTGTCCCATTGCGGAAGCGATCGATCACGTCGCGCAATAGTTCTATCGCGTTCGTCAGCGCCTCGTCGTTCTTTCCTTGCACATACACTGACACCACCATCACCTCCCTTCCCTCAAGTCGGAGTACCGCGCTGTGAGATCGGCCGACGGCACAGGCACTTGCTCCGCCTCAAGGTCACTTCGGATCCAGAGCATGCTGCGAATCGGCCATAGGCCATCACGAACACACGTCGGTATCATCTTTGTCCAGTTATGGTGTCCCGTAGGACTCGTCACCACCTTTCCGTCGATATTGCGCGCATGTGGCTCAGATATAGCCAGTGCGGCAAAATCCTTTAGGTCTTCGTCGTTCATCAGACTCTGCTGCACCACATCACTCTTGTGTGCATTCAGCTGTAGGATGCGGAGGGACTCAAGCATCACTGCTCGGATTCCTCATCCTGCACTTCCAGCTGAATGACTCGTGCGGTCCGCCACACGGGACACATTTTGGTTCAATCGCGGTGCATTCCCGGTGGTGATGCCCAACGTTTGCGCACTTGCCGCATGTCCGCTGTTTCTTGCATGAATATGCTTTGTGACCGATCTCCTGGCAGTTGAAGCATTGGATTGGTCCCGTTCTTGGCTCGAATACATAGGTGGTGGCTGACTCTCCCGCTAGGTCAAAGTAGTACCCTTCCAGAAGCCTTTCTGCGTCGCGTTTCTTGGTGACATACACCACCATGGATCCGTACGCTTTGCCAGACTCTCGTTTGCTCAACCAGGAAATCTTGCCAATGGTCACTCTGTTTTCGGCACTCAAGGCCTCGATCGCTCCAGGCAGAACGTTGCCTTCCGCGTCAGGATTGCTGTGCGGTTGGCGTTGTCGACTCGGACCGGATACAGCTGGTCTCGCATAACTCGCGAACCTTCCACGGCTGTCTTCTGCGCAGCCTCTTTGACCATCTGAAGCTCGGCTTCGTCTCTGCAGACGATCTTGACTCGGTCGGCATTCCGGGACTCTCACGACTGCTGCGCACCTCCAGGTCTCTTGTCCGTTCATCGCTCTCATCTCAGTCTCGATGGCCTGGCGAATTGATCCGATTTGCGCGTTGTTCTTCTTCGACTCGCTGACGCGAGATGTGTCGATGGTACAGTGGAGAGGATCGCTGGCTGTCTGCTGCTTTCTTGGGACAGCTACGCTGGATAGACTGGTCGGCGGGCTCGCTGGCAGTGTACGCGCAATGTCGGCAAACGTTGCTCGAGTGCCGCTCGACAGAGTCACCTCCCCCGAAGCATTCAGGTTCTGCGTGAGCTGGGCCAATTGCTCTTTCACAGCGGCAACCTCTCTCTGAAGATCCCGATGTCCCCGTTTTAATTCCGCGTCGTGCTCATCGCTCTTGCGTTGAAACTCTTCCTTGGATTCCTGGACTTGGACCTCCAAGCCTCGGATGAGATCTTCCTGTCCTTGAATGATGGTGCTTTGCTTGTAGACAGTGGCGTTCAACTTCCTGATCATGTCGTTTTGCTCGGATACCCGATGTTTCAGCTCCACCATTTCACTGCCCATCTTCCCCAGCGTCTCCAGGACTCTCTGCATCATCGATTTGGCGGTCTCCACATTGCTGCGTGACTTCACTTCGTCGCTTCTTTCGCCATCATTGCCCACTGACGTGACTCGCGTCGTTCGCGTCGTGATTCGCTTCGAAGCCCTTGCGGACGCATTTTCCAGTGATTGCAACGTATCTTGCACTCGTCCGCTGGGCGTCATCCCTCGCGTCGGACGCGTCGATGGCGACGGGCTAGCTGGATCTGGACCCGCCCTCACATCCGCCAGGGGCACCACCTCTAGCATTGCCATGGTGGCACGCGACATCAACACCAACCCAAGAGTAAAGAGTAAAGAGAAATATAACTATCTACAGTTCGAGAGCCGATCCGAACTTTTTTCCTTAGGAGGTCTTTCTCCTGCACAGATCTCTTTAGTCGGTGAGCCAAAGCGAATCCCGATAAAGTGGGGGCGGGCACGAGTAGCTGCTTCTACACTGCGGTCCCCCTGCCAACCTGATCGTCAGGCCTTGGCACGTGCGCATGCCACGATAAATCGGTCCGAACTTTATCATGCGCGGGTCACATCAGGCGAAGCCAGGAATGGAGGCCTACTCGGGGGGTTGACTAGCAGGGGTCCGCAAGGCCCCCCCCTCTCCTACGGAGAGGGGGTCACAAAACTTGTTTCTTTGACGGTCGTGTTTCCCTCTATCGCAACTTCAATCTACCGCCACGCCGTCAATTGATGCTATCAAGTCTCAAAACTTTCGCAATATCGTTAACCATACTTCATTTCCATGATGCCAAATTTTCAGCCTGATCAGAGCTTGCGTGCGGCGAATGCGGCGCGAGAATATCTTGACGGCGACTCGCTAACGCGTACAACACGCGCAAATCCCGCGCCTCCGCGCGTCTTGACAATCAACGAGCTCGCAGTGATACACAAGACCAATGAAGGCCTCGTAAAGAAGTATATCAGGCTTCTTCGCGCCAATCTGGCTCTTCCAAGCGGGGGAAAGGGAGGCGCCCCTACTGCTCTTACCGATGCTGAAGAGAAGAGTCTACTCTCATACGCAAGACTCGTCGAAGGCGGCACTTTCGCACTCACGGAGGCATGCCTCATCAATAAGGCCAACTTTATCCGCCATCATCGCCGTCAGGGCTTAACTTCTCAGGTGTCGAGATCGTGGCTTACTCGCTTTAAACGGCGGCATCCAGAGCTTGCCATCAGGAGGGCTAGGATCCAGGAGATCACTCGCGCCGGCGCCGAGCTTGAGGTTGACGAGCTTGAGGCTTGGTTCCACGAATATCAGGCCGTTATCAAGGAGCTCAGAATAACGCCAGAAAATCTATGGAATTTCGACGAAACCCCTCTTCAGCTTGGGTGGATGAAGGGCTCCCTAAAGCTAGTGTCATTACGGATGAAGAGGAGCAGAAGGCCCGTCTTCTTCCAGCCTGGGAATAAGGAGTCGTTAACATCAGTGGATGCCATCAGTGCCGCCGGGAAAGCCATTCCTTCTTTCCTTATCCTTAGTGCAAAGTCCTCCTTGAAGAATACACGATGGCTACAATTAGCGACGACGTTGTCGTTACATATACAACAACAGGATATAACAATAGCCAGCGGGCGTTCCAGTGGCTTCAGCACTTCAACCGCTACTCCTTTGCTAGGAGTAGCTCCTTTAAAACCATACTATCGAGAACTGGTTCGGCTACCCGGCTACAATCACACGGGAAGGCTGGGATAAGAGCAATGGGAACGGCGTACATTCTACACTCAGAAGACGAAGACGGTCTTCCGGCTGCTCGTTATGGATGGATTTGCTGCACACGAGGACCCTGAATTTATCTGGTATTGCGAGATGTTCGAGATCGTACCGTTCAAGCTACCATCGCATACAAGCCACCTCCTACAACCTCTTGACGTTGGCGTCTATCAACATCTCAAACGTGCACAACAAGGAACCTTAAAGAAGTTCGTTATCGGTGGCGGCACACGCATCTCGAGATTCGACTTTCTCTGCCAATGGAATGAGCTATTCAGCGCCGCGTTTAAGGCTTGTTATATCTTTGTGGGCTTTGAACAGTCCGGCTATGGCCTCCTGATCCTGAAGTGGTGCTAGGTCCATTACGAGCTGCCTCTAAAGACCGACAGGAGCCTATTTTCCCACAGCTTTTAGCGAGGAATTTGGTGACACCACGTAAGGTAAAGAGTGATCTTGAAGCCAGTCGGAAAAAACTCGGTATCCTAAGCAGCCCGACGAGAGAGATCGTTAATAACGCGTCAGCCTGTCTTGATCTTGCGATTTTAACACAATCGGCTCATACACAGTTTATACAGCATCAGCAAGACCGTATCCAGCGAGAGAGGCGCAGAACCAAGACCCTACGCCGAATCCGAGGCGTTGACGATGGCGCCTTTACGATACAGCAACTACGAGAAAGCGGCCGCCCGGCAGCAAGAAGACCAAGAGGCTAGTGCCAAGCGTGCTCTTAAGGATAGCGAGACTCAATTTCGACATCTCCGTGCTATGGATGCCGCACAAACAGCGTCACAGCCTCGTCTACGCGGTGGAGCCGCCGTGGCGGCGAAAGCAGTAGAAGAGGCCAAGTACAGGACATACATTCAACAACTCGTGACCCCGGAAGAAGCTGTCGCTCGCGAGGCTCTTCAAGAGCGCTGGACTACGGCTACGGAGGGCTACCGGTATTTCCTATGGGCAACACACCCTAAAGGCGATCTCACAGCTCTTCCTGATATCGTGGCCTGGTCACAAGCTCAGGAGGAGGCGCGGGCACAAGCTGCTGCCAACGTGGCCGACGAAGACTCTGATATCGATCATGACTATATATCTATGCTGCTTTCTTCAGAGCCGGATCTCGCGCCTAATAGCGACGATGATGAGGATGACATTCAGATCATAACAACACAGCGCCAACGCCCGCGTATTGCGAGACCACCACTATCGCAGCTTCCACTCGAGCAGCTTCCGCCACGGCAGCCGGTGCAATTGAACGAAGAAGACGAGGCGGCGATCCAGGCCGAGCTCAAGGAGGAACGCGTTATCGTGGGTGTATACAGCGACGAGGATGATGAAGAAGAGGATGAGCCGGAGGTTGTTATATATGGTAGACGAATTGCTGTACCAAAGACGCGCGTGCGTCAGGCCTAGAGCATTAGATTTGTAATTTACTAGTAACACCAACGACTGAACCAATTCTCACGAGACTTGACACCTAAATTCTATAGTACCTAATAGACACTGTATCTTTGTTTCAATCCCTAAGAAGCCCAATTGACGGCGTGGCGGTAGATTGAAGTTGCGATAGAGGGAAACACGACCGTCAAAGAAACAAGTTTTGTGACCCCCTCTCCGTAGGAGAGGGGGGGGCCTTGCGGACCCCTGCTAGTCAACCCCCCGAGTATGGGTCAGCATCGTAGGACAGCCCGGACTTGAGCTGCGGGATGCCTGTTTAGTGATTCATGCGAAAAGTTACCCACTGTAAATTGTGCTCGACTCGTTCGTTCGATGAATAGGGGACGCCAGAATTGTATCTTTTTGAGTGCGGAGGGGGAGCAAGAGGGTTACGAACAGGGATCTCGGCCAATAAGACCACTGGACGATTAGAGGTACATTGTTTTACTAGCAAATTTGGCTATGGTAGAAGTCCCGGCAAGCCTGCTGGGTACATACAGCTACATACATTGCACTGGTCGCATCTCATGCGAGTCTTTTGTGCCCAGCTTCTTGCGTGTATTACTACTGGCTGCGCCCAACGGCTTGCGCTGACTTATGCGTATCTCACATGTAGCTACGTATTGTGGTGCCCGTGACCACCTTGCTCCCCCTCACTCAAAGGGATGCACTGCCCCGAACTAGTGCGTTTGACTCGACCGCCTGGGCTGTACGGCTGGGGTCATAATTGGCGTCCGATAGTCTCGCGAAGAGAGCATGAACATAATGCATAAAACAGTTCTCGCAAAGGAGAGATCAAAATAGGGCATAAAAGTGGACAAATGGACTTTTCGCAGGTAGGTTCACATATGATCAGAAGGTCTGTGTAGTGCATGTGTTGATTGCTCTGCCCCCCGGTTCCCTTTTCCTGTCCAAACAGCCCCTTTTGTATCCCTCCAACTTTCTCCCAAGTTGATATCCCGTTTTCAGGTATAGTATACATTCTATCAGGAAGAGGGCACTTCTTGCCACTTACTGAAGGCCGCGTAAGTCATCTACGTCAGCAACATCAGCTCCATCTCCCCGATCAAATAGCTCTTCTAGCTATTAGATCGATAGTTCAGTCTCTCGAGGTCCCCGAGCCAGTAAGAGATATACCGGACTTCTTAGAAGGTCCCCGTTCGAATAGGAGATCCTCCGGACCCCTCAGTGGTCTAGGAAGAAGAAATAACAGTCTGCAGACTTCCCTTCTTACCTGGTTTCAAGCTGTATTACCTAGAGAGACCTAGAGACCTCAAAACGCGGTGCGAATAGCTTCAGTTTTGATGGTATTGCTGATAGTTACGGTTACAGGATGTTGTTACGCAAGCATCACGAACTGGCCAGCTGGCCGGCCGGGAATGGGCGCACCAAAATTAGCGGCATCGGCACTGCGCCTGACCCAGCCACAGTTGATCCACTTTTTGGTGTACAGTTAATAAAAGGAGGTGTATAGATAATTGGGCCCTATTTTTTCCAGGCTATTTCTCAACAACTGACTGTCTGTTGGTCAAGGTGTCGACACTTAGTTGGGCTGCTGTGGCCCCACACATTGACCAACGGGTAGTGCCGAGAATGAACCCTGGGGCACGATAGGTGCGCGCAATGGCTGCTTTCGCCCTATGAACTCCCCATATAGAGCACCACCGGTCACACCTGCGGAGCTACGCCGTGTTGGGCGCCTGGGGTCAACGCAGTGGCATCCTGCAAACATTTGCAACCTGGGGTATGCGACGGTCCGCAATTGCCTTCCCTATCACAACCTGCATAATTCCACCTGCAGATAGGCATCAGCCGCCCGTTCCCCATGCGGTCGTAAAGAAATGACCCCTTAGTACTGCCACTTACAGCCGCAGGACGCTACCGTAACACGCCCTCGCAAAGGTGCATCGCTGTAGAGTAGCAAATGTATGGGCCCGAAATGCACCCATTGCCTCCCGATCACTATCAACAGCTAAAGAGGGCCTTTGAGGACAGGATATGTCGTTTGAAGTTATCATTGCCTTATTATTTGCGTTATTATATAGTGTGTTTGGTACCTGCAATGCTATGGCCCGCTCTGGTGTGAACGGAAGAGTGACAATTTTGCAGCGTGAACATCCTGACTCCTCTCGCGACCCTCAGAAGCCACCCGTCGCTCATTCTGCATTTTCTGTGGCTTTTCCACTTTCAAAATCTTCAGCTCTTGTTAATAATGCCAATTTATCTCCTTATTTTGCTTCACGGCCTCCGTCATCCGTCGTTTTCTCCCAATTTCCGCCTCTCATTGCTTCCTCTTCTCTAGAGCGAGAGCTTTTGCTCCGCTGCCTTCTGCTGTCGCTGAAGCTTTCAGGCCTCCTTCTTCAGAGCCTCCTCTTTCTTTTGAGTCCTTTCACTGTCATTTTTGGCGAGCTTGAGCCACAATTTTAGAGCTAAACACCTCGTCTGCACTAGAATCTGTACAGCAGAAGAGATCATCTTTGAAGCCTTACCGGGCTGCCTGCGCTGGTTCTTGTGACTACTTGTTCTCTGCATACTTTAACTCTCATATCAAGCACTTAAAACTCATATTGAGGGCTCCTGAGGGTGCTGCTCAGCCTTCGGCTGTTGCGGCCAGCATCAACAGAGGACTTCTCGACTACTTCCTGAAATGCGTTCCAAAACACAGTCTAGATCTTCGATTTCAGCAATCCAATGAACCTTTTGATTTGTCTGTGTACTGGATAAGATCATGCGTATACGCTGTTGAGAGAGGCTGAATAACGATACATCAAGGGTTGCAGCCGATGAATGGATTGAGGGGAAACACCACAACGATCACTCGGTGCCGGTCACACCACTCCATAAATTCGATACTAAAATGGTTAAGTGGCCATCGGGAACCAAAGGCGATAAGCACAACCGTTTCGAGCTTTCACCCTGGTAAACCGGTCGAACGTACCGGTGAGCTGCTCATTTCAATATTGTGATTCGTCCACCTCGTTTTTGACGTGTTAAAAATATTTATTGACGACTTGATTCACGTTTCACGAACCAAAAGTCCAGAGTTTGTGCTGGCTTGTCTTGGTGGATGAGAAATGGGGCAGCGATGCCATCTCTTGACTGACGCACATCTTGAACGTAAGGGAGGATGGGTTGCCATTTTTTAATACGCCGAGCAATTTTGCCTTGTTTTCTTATAATAAGAGGAATACCCTGTTCGTTCAAATGCTCATAAGGAATAGAAAGCCCATTTCATCCATGTTATACGTGTTTTAGGGTAGGGTGTCGAATTTCTCAATTTTCGTGCACGTCTTTCCTTGTCAGGTGTGAAAGCGGAGCCTCGCGCACTGAATTTCAAGCTAAAAATAAACCTTACATTCAGATGCATAGATAGGTTCTTTTCAGAAGATGCTTGTACCGTCGAATCACGTTCAATCTGGCTCATTACGGGTGCGTAGAATGAAGTTATCCAGCTCGCCCTTCCAACCCCATTTTTGCAGTATCCTGAGCCAAGTTCTGCACTATGGATAGAATGGGAGAATCCCACATGATTAAAGCCTACGATGAAAGCCAATAATGTTCTGTTTTTGCTGTATTGGCTGAAATGACTTACACATCTGTCGGCATCCTATTTTGGCCGTTGCTTGGTTTGATGTCAGCACCGCAGCGCATTGCCCCTAGATAAAAGTTCTAAATATATGCCAGACTTTCACTGCTTCTGATGATTCAGGAAATCAAAGGATACGTCAATTGGCACCGTTGTTGTTGAGCTATTGTCGATTGATGTTGAGCGTGCGAAGTCGCCGCAATCCGGCAGATCACCAGATCCGGCAGATCATCGGAAAATCCCTTAGTCGGGACATCGACAGCATTCAATAAGCTGAGTTGGTTGTCCATGGCCCAGAACGCGATGTCTTCGCCGCGGTGCTCTTGCCGGCCGGCCTGCCAGCTGGGATGCTTGGCGTTGAAGTCGCCAGATACAAGACATTTATCCGTCGCGTTCCAACGAAGCAGGATTTCCAGAGCTACGTGGTAGTCCGGCTGCCGATAGAAGTTAACTACGCCGTTCACGGTGAGCCAAAGGATGTCACGAGTCGCCGTAGGTCTCCTTTGATCGGCGACGAGGCCAGCGGAGCGCCGGACGTATGTCATGACTCTCGGGCGGGTATCGCGGCTGTCCCAGTCGGTCACGGGTGAGAAAGTGTCATAGGCCGGGTGCGTCTTGGTAAGGCATCGGCCATCTTTCAGTCCAGTCCATGGCTCCTGCAGCAGGACGATGTCGAATCGCTCTGAATCAGCCAGCGCGAGCGCAGTGTCGTGCGCCGCAGGAATCTTACCTACGTTGGCTTGGAAGATTCGCAGGGTCTTCCTTCCACTTCTGTTGTTTGGGGGACAGCGATACATTATGGAAGCGTCACAGGGCTAGTGCGTCGTTTCTTAGACCGGACGACAGGGGTGAACTGGTTGTCATCGCTAGCGTGCGGCGGCGTCGTGGCCACGACGATGCAAGGGGGTGAGGGAGCGGCTCGCTCTTCAGTGGCGCTTCTGCCGGAGCTTCCGTCCTCTCCGGCTGCCTGCGGCTCCGAAGAGCGTGATTGACTTGAATCAGGGCTCTGACGAGACTGCTCGGGCACGTTGTGATTTGGTGTCTGTCTCTTCTGCTGCGCGAAGAGCTGGGCTCCCGCCTGCCTTACCAGTCTCCTCTCCTCTCTCGTCAGACGCCGTACCATGCCATGAACGCGCTTAGGGCGGGCAGGGCATTTGGGGTCATCAGCGCAATGTGGTCCGAGGCAGTTTGCACACTGCTCGAGGGCCGCGCACTCTTGGTTGCGATGGTCGGTCTTGCCGCAGTGTCGGCAGCGCGCAGTCCGGTCGCAGCTATGGCGAGCGTGGAAATCCCAGCATTTATCGCATTGGCTAGGAATGCTGGGTTTGTCGATGTAACGGGCGAGACGGCTGGCGCCGAAAAGTCTCCAAGGTCTTTGTGCGGGTTCCAGGAATGACACAATCAGGGTCTGGGTGGGCATGTCACCCGAGTCGTGTCGCGATGGACGTATGCTGATGGGCTTCAGTCCGGTTTGACAGGTAATCTCTTCTCTGACAGCCTCCTCGTAGTTGATCTCGACACCTCGTAGGTCTGTGAGTCTACGAGGACAATCGGCTACTACGTACGAATGCCATTTCTGGCTTATCTCTACGGCCGCGGCTTCCAGGTCTTCCGCCCACTCCGCCTGCCGTTGCAAAAGTAAGTCACGCGTGGCCACATCCGATGTCTGAACAGCCCAGCCCGTGTTTACTGGGAAGGCTGCCGGGATGCGGCGCAAGTCAATACCGATTCTAGCGGCGATGTGGGTCCGGATTGCGTATCTTTCATGGTTTCGGGCCGGGGCGTCGGCTGCGAGTCGGACGAAGACGCGGAGGTCTTCCTTCGGCGGGGCTACGGGCGGTCGTGCTGGCAGGCGAATGGTGCTTTGTTGTTTTCGCTGCGGTGGGGCGGGAGCTGTAGAGGCCAGCTGTCCTTGGGGCTTTCTGCCGGATGCGACAACGTTGCTGTACGTAGGTTTCTGTGCTTCATCGAATTCGGCGAGCAATTGAGTCCAAAAATTGAGAAATTTAGTGGCGACTTGCTTCGCGATGCTGTTCTCGGCGTCGGACGTGAACTGCTTCGCTGCTTGTTCAAATGATTCGCTGAAAACCCGTAACACTGCCAGCTTGGCGTTATGGGCTGCCGTCTGGTCGCGAGCAATTTTCGTGGCCGCTTCGAGGATCGAGACTGGTGCATGTTCAGCGGTCTTGTACGGTTCGAAGAGATTCAAGGCTTCGTCCAGCTGCGCTCCTTCCGTGACGGCAGCGTCAAGCGTTTCGGTGGAAGAGATTGACTGGGCCAGCTGCTGGGCCGCGGAGAACGAGTCGTTTCGACGAGCTTCCGTCGGGTAACCAGGTCGGAGTTGCAATCGATGAGCCGCTGAAACTGGCGGCGATCGTATGCCTTGTTTCAAGGCATCGGAGTCGGCATGCGAACCTGAGGCTGGTGCCACCGTGCCATGGCCGCTGCCGGCGCTTGCGCGCGGCTCAATTGGAGTTTTGTCAAGAGCAGTTGTTAGGGGAAACTATGTGTGAATAGGCTACTTCCTTAACACTAGCGTGCCAAGAAAGTAAAAATACAAGGAAGGGGTGACGCGACTGCCATATTCTAGGCCCTAGCAATCGAACCGCGGCTTGCCGGATGGTGTCATTTTGGAACTTCCATTGCAGAAACCCAGGTCTTTGCCCTCATCATTTGACAATCATAATGGCGCGCATCTCCAACTTATCTTATGATTCGGACGCTTCCTTTTCGCCGGAAGATGACTTTGACTCTGATGCTTCCTGCGATCAGAAGTATGAGATTACTGACGCAAATCAATCGGACACTGGAAGCATGGGCCTCGAAGATGAGGATGAGTGCATCACATCCGACATACAGGACCAAGCTCAGCTCTTCGGCGGCAATGTGCATTCAGCTGAATATTACAAAAAGGCCGTCGAGGAGTTCAATGAATGCGACTGGGATACGCAGGATTATTGCAGCGGCAGTCTGCTGCTCCTCGACGTGTGTGAGGGGCATTGGCGCCAGTAAGAAACCCGTCGTGCTTCTACCTCTCTCGCAGCCACTGATCCGAATCCATGATTCCAGGTTCTGCGAAATGCTCGAGCTCGACGTTCAGGATTGCTATCGATCTATCTCCGAATCTGGTTCTCTGCGTCTTCTGTACAACTTCTTCGATTGGTCCTTAAATCAGAAGATCGGGAAGAATGGCCGGAAAACGCGAGGTATCCAAAAAAGCAGCTCTCTTGGTACATACTGGAAAGTATTTCGGTTGGTCTTCGAACGGGCGACAGGTAATAAGCTCGATGCGAAAATAAATCGGCGCATGCACAAGGTATGGTCCGACTCTATCTGAACTCTGCAGAGGCTGATCATGCAGGTTCTTCGACACCTCTCCAAGAAGCACGCGCTCAGCGACCAGAAGCGAGCAAATAGGGTCATGACAATAGAAGATCTCAAGGAGCAGATTGAAACGACCAGATGTTCTGGGGCGGGTTCTCCTTTAATCGGCGGACTTCTCTTATACCAATGCTCGGAGACCCGGACTTGGTGTACTTGAGTGTCTTCAAGAAAATCTCCCAACTATTGCCGAGCCGGGATATACTTTCGCTCAAGATAACGCCTCTACACATATGGCCGCTATAGTGCAAGCGTGGCTCGGTTGCTGGATCGAAGAAAACGGGGTCGAATTGGTCCACTGGCCCGCTTACTCTCCTGATCTTAATCCAATCGAGAACGTCTGGAAGATGTTAAAAGAACGGATCCACGAGATCCATGCCGAGCTCGCAGACCTCCCTAAGAACTATGCCGCGAAGCAGAGGCTCTGCGAGGCAGCGGTTGAGGCGTGGGAAGATTTGGATGATACCCTTAACCACTTAGTAGAATCGATGCCCCGGCGCCTCCAGGCCGTTGTTGACGCTCGTGGCTGGTATACAAAGTACTAAGTACTACTGTAATAATCTCCTTCCTTTCCTGTATACTATATATTTTACGGCTTTAATTTTAATCTTAATTTGGCTTCGCAATTAAATCTTAAAAATAATACCTAAAGGTAGTGATAGTACGGAGTAACTTAGCGTTGTGGGGGATGGGGCGGAATATTTGTCACCCGATTGTAGGTGTTCCGGAACCTTTCAATAACTTAGTTTGGGTGCCTGAATAGTGAGAAAAAAACGTATCCAGCACCTGTCGAGATAGTGCTTGCCTGGCTGGAGATGAAAGAGGTCGGTCGCCTTGGGTGCGCTCGAGAGGTAGTCGCTGTTGGAGACGTGTCGTCCGACTGGTGCTTCTGTGCTTCCGGATGCCCGGGGGTCGCTTTCCTGTTTATTGTCAGGGTCCAGGGAGGACGTCGCTCGGCGCTTCACGAAAACAAGTACCTTAACTTTTCGGCGCCGACGATATGCACCCCTTTGGGCAGCCAACTGTGCTCGAGTGCGGGCCATAGCGACGAGAATCTTGGTGAGCGACGAACTGAAATTGAGTACGGAGTACGAGCGGGCTTGTCTACGTGGTACTCCACGTAAATTGGAGCTCAAACGTTGCCATACCGTTTTCTCGGGCACACTTAAGCACCGCATCTGGAAGAGGCCATTTCTCGTAGCTTGCTGTACTGGCTGCCTCAGTATTTGTAGCCGAGATGATGTCGCTGCTTCTATTTTGCTTGGCAACAGGGCATGGTCGGGATTCGGGGGCTGCCGCTGACTCTTAACCTGACCGCGCCGCCTACTTGCCGGAGTCGCAGTTTTACACCGCTTGCGTGCCGGCACCATCTCCATCATCGCTGTAATCCATCTGACCTTCCACGTAGTTCCGCCTCGCTTTGGTACGACTACGCCTGCTGCCAGCGATCTGGGGCATGTCCAATCGCCTCCGCCTAGTCTTGTTGCTATCCTGACAACGGGATGCTACAGGGGCTTCACTGACGTATTGAGGCTCCCCACGCGTACTAGCCCGAACAGAGGAATAGAAAACGCCCAGGATCGTTTAGTAACGAGCTATGCCGTCCGCAGCTTTCACTTAGGCCTCGATAGCTTCGGCAGGAATTGCCGGGTTCCTCCGCGGCCTCTTGAACTGAAGCTGATTCGTCGATCTCTTCATAGACCAGTCCATCACCGTCCTGTGGTGAGGTGGCAGCACTAGGCTGGCCTTCCTCAACTTCAAGACTTCGAGCAGACCCCGCATCGATTTGGGGGAGTCGTGCTGGCATTAACCTCGGGTTCAGGCGAAACAGTGTCGGCGGCAGATACAAGACGAGGTTGGCACGAGGGACTCGCGTCTCAATTCCGCCCGGCATTGTCATCTTCGAGCATGGGTGTGACTGCCGGCAGCATGCTGATATAGCTGGTGACGCTAGGATGTAAGTGTTCATCCCGCGATGGGCGACGAGGCTCGACTGCCGGCAGCATGCTGATGTGGCCGGCGACGCTAGATTGTAAGTGGTTATCCCGCGATGGGCGACGAAGCTTGACTACTGGCAGCATGCTGATGTGCTGGTGACTAGCCTGTAAAGAAAAATGCTCAAGAAGCTCGAAGCGACTTCTAATTCTCGATGGTCATGCCTCTTACCGTACCAGGCAGTTCATTGAATACTGCCACAACCGCAATATTATTCCCTTCGGCATGCCACCGAATCTCACTCATGTACTTCGGCCTTTGACAAAATCCATCAGCAGCAAGCTAGACATAACGAGCACTAACCCGGCCGAGTACATGCGCTGGATAGCGGAGCGCGGGCGTGTAGGGCTTCAGGGTGCATTTGAGAATAAGCTAGACATGCCCCAATCGTTCATAGCTCTTGCGTGCCAGTATAGGACTCGCGTCTATGTTGATCCACAACGTTAATGGTCGTCTTTCCACGTGAAGCCCGCAAGGAGTGTCAACTGTTCCTCACAAATTCAGTTCGCACGGCTCACTCTTCCTCCTAGATGTCATCACTAGGTCTCTCTCTTGTCCGGCCGAGAAACTCCACTCCGCTTTCGCTTCGTTGCGACTCCAACACTGCTTATCTCCATTTGCAAAATCGTGTTTGCGCACGGGTGCGGCACCAGTCCCTTCGCATGGCTTCGTCTCGAGTGGAACTCGTGTTCAAGTCGGTGCTTTCCAACGCCTGCTCTTTCTGCTCCTCCGCCTTCTCTCGTTACCGAACCTTCTGGCGTCATTTTGGACTTCGCGTTGATTCGACGAACTGACACCAATTCAATGCTCAAGACAAACCTGAACTCATGCCCAACTCTAGTCCCGCTCCACAAGGCAATCACCAGTCGTCTGCGTACTCTCATGGGAGCTGCTGGTGGCCGGCCACGCATCGCCCGGTCTTATAAGCCACTTCAGTAGCTTTTCCATTAGGAGTTGCCTATTCACCGGCTTGGTGATGTAGTCATCCGCTCCTTTCTCCAAACAGCTCTCCATGTCGCCCCTGAGCGCGTAGGCGGTCATCGCAATGATTGGTAGCCGCACGCCGCTGTTCCTTATTTGAACCGTCGCCTCGTAACCGTTCATGACAGGCATGCTGATGTCCATAAGTATCAGGTCAAAGGCGTTGGGCGCGGCGGATAGTGTCGAGACCGCCTGGGCGCCGTCCGAGACGACTGTGATGTGCTGGAATTTAAAGGCATGCAACATTCTGACCAAAACCTGCTGGCTGATGAGGTTATCCTCAGCGGCTAGGATCCGCGCTGCCGGGGCTATCTCCATCAACTGCGTCAGCTGCGCTGCGATCTTGTTGCCTCGGAAGAAGTGCTGCCTCGGCAACTCGCTGTCAATATCCGCCTGCACGTTGGCAGTGCAGATCTGTTGATGGTTGTTGAGCCTCTTGAGTTTAACTGAGAACCAGAAGATGCTACCCTGCTGTTCCGGATTAGGTTTATACCCAATAGTCCCACCCATCAGCCCAGTTAACGACTTCGCTATGGACAGTCCGAGGCCTGTCCCTTGGTGACGCTTCTGATACGTGGTATCAAGCTGCGTGAATGGCTTAAAGAGTTTCTGGACGTCATCCTCGGACACCCCATGTCCAGTGTCGACGACCTCAGTTAGGATCGTGTGTGTGGCCGCATCCTGCGCGAGAAGCGACAAGCTCACCAAAATGGACCATTTTTCTGTGAACTTTCTAGCATTGCCGAAAATGTTCTCAACGATCTGGCGAAACCTGAGAGGATCTCCTTCTGCCCCCTTTGGCAGGTCAGGTGCCAAGACCAGTCTCAGTGACACTCCCGGTTCCACAATGATCTGACAACTGCGCACAACCGAAGTCACCACACTAGCGACATCTATCTCACCGTTATTGATCGAAAAACAGCCTGCCGCGAGTTTGGAGTAGGTGAGCATGTCGTTGATAACCTGCAACAGGACGCGGCCCGAATCTTCAATTATATTTGTCGTCTCCAGTTGCTCTTCTGTCAGACTGCTCTCCTGAAGCAGAGAGCAGGCGGAGAGTATGCCGTGCATAGGCGTACGGATCTCGTGGCTCATGTTTGCTAGAAAATCATTTTTCAACTTGGCGCTCTCCTCGTAGGCAGCAATCAGCCGCATTTCCGCCTCTTTTCGCTCAGTGAGATTTCGGATAACCTTGCCGAAGCCGATATGCATGCCATTCTTATAGATGGCTGTGATAATGATGTTGGCCCAAAACCGACTGCCATCCTTACGGTAGCGCCAACCCTCATCTTCCATCCTACCCTCTCGCAAGCAAATCTCAAGCTCTCTCTCGGGCTTCCTGGATTGGATGTCTTCCCTGCCATAGAAAATCGAGATCTTTCCAATTTGACTGTGACGCAAGAATGAGAGCGGCTCTACGGGCCGATTGTATACGTATAGATGGGGGCGCGGTATAGCAACGCAAACCATCTTGGTACGACGAAAGAACACGGTTGAGGTCGTCCGTCGAACCAGTCCGCTCGAATCGCCTACCGAGCCAGATTCCGAGGTTGCTCAACCGGCTCGCTCGATCGGGGTGTTCGTGAGGGGTGGCATCTACAGCCATGCTCGAGACCTCAACGGCATGGTTGAGGTCGTCCATTGAATCAGTCCGCTTGAATCGGCTACCGAGCCAGATACCGAAGTTACTAGTGAGGGGTGGCATCTACAGCCATGCTCGAGACCTCGACGGCACGATTGAGGTCGTCCATCGAACCAGTCCGCTCGAATCGGCTGCCGAGCCTGTTTCCTAGGTTGCTCAGCCAGCCAGCTCGATTGGGATGGTCGTGAGGGGTGACATCTACAGCCATGCTCGAGACCTCGAATTGGATACTTTCTACTCCCCCTGGTGTACACAGTGTGTACACGAATCCACATGTCTTCAGCTCCTGTGGGTGGTGCCTGTGGGTGCCTATGGAGTCTGTTCTGACGGGATTCGCTGGAGTGGACGATGCAAGGTGCTGGATTTGATGCAGTGTGGCGAAGAGGGGAGACTTCTTTTGGGGGGAATTTATGACTCTTCTCGGGACCCTGTGGGTCACGCGGCCGGAGTAGCAATAATGGACCCCGCACGATAGCTCGAAATGGATTTTACTGCAGCCTGGGCTCAGTGGGCTGCATGAGACATTTCTCACTAGACAGCTCCATTCTCCAATGAACCAATGGCAAACCTTCACCCAAAAGCGTGGCTCGGTGACGGACTGCTGGATGGGTAGAGTATACGGTATGGGCCGTTCTAGATCATCTGTTCCCAGCCGCTCTATCTAGACTGACCTAGACCCAACGAGAGTCGAGACTGGGGCTTTTGATCTACCCAAACCGACCGAGGACTGATTATATAGACGCTCGTATCATGGGCTCCAGAAGCTGCCTCTTTGTAGTTCTTACCAAGTCACTGGGCCTCAACAGCGAGTATGGCTCCTTCTCTTTTCCAAGCTCCAGCAAGCACAGCACCTGCAGTTCACCATGGCGACGCGGGCAGCCCTCGGGATTCAAAACTCGCCACGTCGATTCCTTATGTCAACTCAACAACTGCTCACTTCCATATATCGCTCCTTCGAAAATTCGACGAGGTTTATTACTGCCTCGAACATGACCCTTCCGAGGACGACCATACAGAGAACATTTCCCTCCAAGCTTTCTTGGTCCTTGCCGAGTCTAGGTACCTTCAATATCTCAACTTGCTATCCGACTTTGCGGCAAAGGTCTCTCAGAAAGACAAATTTGCCAACATTATGCCTCTGCCGCCTTGGTAAGACACTTCCCATTCTAATCCTTCTAGTTAAGTTAGGGATTACATACTAAACGTGATCCAGGGATGTCGCAATGGTTTTCCACGCCCATTGTCTCAACCCTTTTAGTTTTACAGCTGATCTCACCATGTTGTTCGAAAGACTCCTTGACGCCGGAATCGAGTTTCCTCTGGGGAGACTTCACAATCTCGTAAAGGTCGGGACGAATTCCGACACCGAGAGTCAATGCCAGTGGGATAACTACCATTTGGAGCACGGCCACAACGCAGCATTGGTCCCATACCAGCTTTCCCCTGACCTGCCACACGCGCTAGGCGACACGATTGGCTGGAAGACTGCTGGCATATACGTCAAATGCCCAGGATGCAACAGCGAAATGGCCTTTGACTTGACTTCATTCAGCACCATGCGACTTAGTGGAAAGCCTCTCACTTGCACCAGTTGCAATATCTCATTCGACGCAACTAGATTTCCGACGAATCTGGTCTCCGCAAGTCTCCGCCAACGCAGTTTTGCTGCAAAAATGGCCAGCGATAGGTTTTTTGGGCTTGATTCACCTTCAAACCTAGAAAAGGCAACGGCACGCTATCGCCAGTTCATGTTTGTTGACGTTGACATGGACGACGAGAACGCCATCGTTCCCACGTTGGATATCGATTTGATCTGGCATACTCACCAACTCTTTCCGGTCGAGTATCGACGTTGGTGTATCGAAAACCTGAATAGGTATGTCAACCACGACGACACAGTCGACGAGGGGGACCTGGCCACGGGTTTCAATCACACAGTCGATATTTGGCTCGAGAAGTATGGAGAGAAATATGAAATCGTTGATTTCTGCAAAACCATACGCCGTGGACGAACAGATCCCCCAACTACTGATTATTGCGAGTATGGCCCCTTGTGTTGGCCTGGTGGCACTTCGTCTGAACACATCAACGCTTCCTTCTCAAAGACGGATCCACTCCTGAGTTGCCGGTTCCGATGCGGAAAGTGCTCGAAGGCCGACTGCCATAAGCCGTCAAACCAAGAGGATCAACTCCTGAGTTGCCGGTTCCGATGCGGAAAGTGCTCGAAGGCCGACTGCCATAAGCCGTCAAACCAAGAGGATCAACTCCTGAGTTGCCGGTTCCGATGCGGAAAGTGCTCGAAGGCCGACTGCCATAAGCCGTCAAACCAAGAAGATCAACTTGTGAGTCAAGCTTGCGCTGGAGGATGACTGCAATCTGTTGCAGCCTGCAACAGGTGTCAGAGCGGAATCAGGGTCAGGTGAAATACTGCGTTGTGCGGCCAGAAACCATCCTCAAGAATGCTATCTATCTACATGGCGGTGAGAAGCATGTGACCGGCCCTGGTCAGTACCGTGACAACAGGAGCCTACTGGAGCCTATTGTTGCCTGTTGGAGTAATCGTTTATTTATTTAAACAGTCTCTACCTCACAGATACATAGTGAAGTAAGCTTAATGAGATCAAGTTCGTTCGCTCTTGCTTCCGCTGTGTATTCGTCACAACATGGGGAAATGACTGACACGCACTGGAGACGTGCGGATCATGGTGTGACAGTGCCAAGGAAGTTGACAACGATGGATTTCGATAAGCTGCTTATTGTCGCACTGAGACGTGCATAGATGATGATGTGCTCAAAGTTGATGGATCATTGATGAGTGGGGGGGGAATTTCACTGAGTTGACCGAGCCTGGCTTGTCGGTGCCGGCTAATATGCAACTTTGGTGGCTTTTTAAGCCGCCTCTAGCGAGCTAGGGGGGCCGAGGGGGCCATGGGTGTCGCCAAGACTGGCTGCCATTCTCCCTGGGGAGAGTGGGCTCCATTGCGGGGTCGGGCAGCCATTGAGTGTGTCCACAAGATTGAACGCTCACCGGCGAGCGGTTCGCTTTGCCAGCCTGGAGGAACTCAGTCTAAGCGGGCATCAGCGAACAGAGCCCTCCATCTCTTGGCGACGAGCATCGATCCCAAGCGGGGCGACAACCCACCACGGCCAGCGATATGTAACGTCTCCTTGCCCCGCGCCGACTGATGTGCCACCTGAGCATCCGTCACCGTATGAAAGCCGACAACCAAGTACACGTCGTCGCCCTGATCAATCGTTCTCTCGAGCCATTCTCGAGCCATTGGCGTGTAGGATGAAGCCTCGTGGCGGCCTCAAACCACCGTTGCGAGTTTTCTAGGGTATAAGTTCGGACGAGACTGGTCGAAATGCGCACTTTGGCATTGGCACGCCTGGAGAACATCGTCGACATCAAGGAGGTGAGTGTCGACGAAAAGCCGTTGCCGCTGGACTCGAGTCCGAGTCCGTTGTACTGGCTGCGGGTCGCCACACTGGGCGCGGGACGTTCGGCGTAAGGCGGATCGTAAAAATCCTGGTACGGGTGGTCGATGCTAGTAATGAATCGACCCACTTGGACACGCTCGAAGGGGAGGAAAAACTGAGGAAAGAGTATCGTCGTCGCCATGCTGGATTATGCTGACTCCTTTGGACTCCGAAGCGACTGCTGCCTAAAAGGCTTTCTTGGCGCTACCAACAGACTACTTCTGCAAGTATCTGCAGACCATCGACCTCACCTCATGTGCGATGCTTACGGACGCTGGTGTTGGCAAGATCATCAGCGTCGCGCCTTGTCTTCGTAGCCTGATTCTCGTCAATTGCAGCTTGATCACTGACAGGGCCTTGAGATCGGTTGCTCAGCTCGGGAGAAAATTACTTCGAATACATCTAGGTCATTGCCCAAAAATCACTGATGAAGGGGTCAAGGATATCATCCGATCATGCAGTCGCATTCGAAATATTGACTTGAAATACTGCACCAGTTTAACGGACGATTCGGTGAAATGGCTGGCTTCGCTTTCCGAGCTAAGAACAATGGACTTGGTTGGATGTGGTCTGATTACGGATCAGTCTATCTATGCCATCGCCAAGGGAAGCGTTCGCTACCGCGCTCGCAGAGGCGTGACATCTAGAAGCCAGCGTGCAATGACTCTGGAGCGGGCTCACCTCAGCTACTGCGCAAATCTTACCGTCCGGGTATTTTATGTCATGTCTTGGCGATCCTAATTTTCACTGATGTTTGCCCAGGGTATCCAACAGCTTCTCAATTCATGCCCTCGACTTGGCTATCTGACTCTGACGGGGCTTAACTTTCCTAAATTGGAACAGTTCCACGCTATCCTCCATAGCAACGTCACTGGTAAGTGAGAGGTGATAATTGATTTCCTTGCACAGGCGCATTTTCGTGATAGCTGATATATGTACTGCAGGGCCCGGGCAAAGTCAAATGAATGTCTCGCGCATCTTCACCGGTGAATCGATCTCTCAACTCTGCAATTTTCTGAATCAGGCTTGTCAATGAGTAAACTCAGGTATCAAATGTGCTGAAGTGTAACTAGATTGTGTAAAGGCCCTTTAGGGATCTCCCTCTAGGCGAAATAAATCCACACACACACTGCTACTACTGCTACTACTGCAACCGCATTTTCACAGGCCTTTCTCATTCCATATTAACCTCAGCACTCAAGACGGCTACTTGTTGAACACCCCCATGTTCCACATCTCAGCCAGAAGCAAACGGAAAAGCAGATCGTTACCAGAACGCGTGTTACCCTCGCACAGCATGTGACGAGACCAGAGTACCATTTCTTTGAGTATGCCACTGGCACAGCAGGGAAAAGCCAAGACAAAGGGATTCGAAAATGCTGTCTCAGTGATACAACTCGAAACCGAAGCAGGTTGCAGTAGTGCCTTCAATCTCGAGCATTCCTCCTGGCCCAGTCCACTCTGACCGGGGCCAAGAACTAACAGAAACCGATGATAGAAAAACACGTCCTGCTCGCACTGCGCAATGAAGTGCTCAAAGAACCGTCCGCGCAGACGATCTGCGAGTCTCGCGACAAGAACGCATGGCGGAACGCTGTGGGAGGTCACCAGGTGAACCACGTAAATCCGCTTACAAAAGCGGCGCCGGTAGCAAAGAGGAGCACAACGAACGTGACTGCAACAGCAACCCTCATTGGCCTCTGCAACGGAGCGAGGCTATGAACCAATGAGCTGGGGCATTACTAGACGGGGACGGATGTAGGCATATGGTACCAAGATGCCCATGCAACTTTCACCAATGGCGTCAGTGGCGTTCATGTCGATCCCCACGACAAGAATACTGCAATTAACCGTTTCCGCACAGCTTTCTCGACAAGAATCCTCGAGGAAAGAACGAGTGACGCCTATTCCCTCCAAGGTCGATGTGCGTTGATTCCAGTTTCTTCAAGTCTTTCTCTCGGAATGCACTTTGTCAACGGGAGGCGAAGCTGTCATCGTGTCAGCGATTGATTCCATTCTCCTCAAATGGCAAAGAAGAGGGAATCGCCTGAGAAACACGAACGTGGTTCTGCATCTGCACCTTCCAAGTCTCTTCTACGAGAAAACAAAGGGAAAAGCCAAAGCCCCCTCTTCACGGGTCAGTCTTCTATATACTCCATTCGAGTACGTACCGTATGGACATCTTCGTCCATACAACTGTGGGGCTATCGCCCGCCTGCATCGGGGTCTACACCAATTAGCATTTAACTTAGTGACCTCCCACACAAAGTCACTTCCCTCCGGTCGTGACCATTTTCCCTGCGGGTCGACGGACGTGTTCCCTCCGGTCGCGGCCAACGGAAGCGTTTGGGGTTCGGAGGAGTGTAGAGTGTCAGAAACGAGCGGAAGGCCAGGTCTTATGTAGGCCTAACTGACAGGCCGTAGGTAGAACCTTTAAAGAAACCCGTCGGCAACTCGTGTGCTCTGTCAAGTCGTGGGCGCCGTGGCTGGTCAGTGGAAGTGGAGTGGGCGACGCCTTCATCGCCACCGATTACCCGCTACTACCCGTGCCACGCCCCACCTTTATTTGGAACTCGCGAGCTCGCACCACCTAAAGGTGGTGCTCACCACCGGTATAACCATTTTTTCCACCCCTTGATCTTGTAATGCTTCTCTCCCACTCAACCCGTGATCTATGCTCTTGAGAAGATGGAGGCAAAAGTACAAAGCGCTGTTGAATACATTGAGAAGTATCATGTGCGAAAGTGGCAAATGTCGCGCGAGAATTTGGAGTGCCACGTGGCAGATTGCGATACCGTCTGCAAGGCCGTCCCGCCAAAACCGGCCAAAAGGCCAGCAACACGAAGCTATCGCGGCCTGAAGAGGCTGCGTTGTGTCGCTACATCGATCGTCTAGATGCCATTAACCTTGCAGTTCGGGCCGAGTTCGTCACGGACGCCGCAAATTGTATCTTGCGTGAGCGTTTCGGCAGAAGTGAAGCCCCCGTCGTGGGGCCAAACTGGACTTCTCGATTCCTCAAGCGTCATGGCTATCTAAAAAGACGTCAGAGGAAGCTCCAGGCAGAGCGGCAGGCCTCTGAAGACCTGACGCGTGTTCATCAATACTTCCAGGCTTTGCAGCAAGTCGTTCAAGAGAATGGCATCCCCCCCGAGGACATCTGGAACATGGACGAGACCGGCTTTCGCATCGGGGTCGGTAAAGACCAGCTGATTGTGACAAAACGAGCGAGAGCGCATTACTTTGGCATATCAGAGAACAGGGAGTCTGCGACCGCTATTGAAGCCATCTCGGCGAATGGAGAAGTCATCCCCGCGTTTCTGATACTCGCCGCGCAGATGCACATGGCTTCATGGTATCAGATTCCCGAGCTTGATCATGACACAGTCATCCGGCCTACTCCCACCGGTTACTCAAACGATACGATCAGCTTGGAATGGCTTCAGCATTTCGACAAGCACTCTGCGAAAAGCTCCAAAAGCTCGAGACGTTTGCTGCTCCTCGACGGCCATGGCTCTCATCACACCAGGCAATTCATTCAGTATTGTGACGAGAAAGGCATCATCCCCTTTGGCATGCCACCTAATCTCACCCATGTACTTCAGCCTTTGGACGTCGTGGTTTTCCAGCCACTCAAACACTATCACGCCAAGGCCCTGGACGTCATGGTTCGAGATGGCCTCGTCAACATCACAAAGCTTGAGTTTCTCTCGTTCATTCAAGATGTGCGATTGAAGGCTTTCAAGATAGATACAATCCGTTCCGCTTTTCGAAAGACAGGAGTGTTTCCCTTTGATCCACAAGTGGTGCTTCGTGTTCTGGAAGCTCGACAAGCGAAGAAAACACCTCGCCCCGCCCCATTCAGGGCCCTACTCCTCGCCTTTCGAGACGCCATTGACTTTACGTCAGATCAACAAGGTTGCGGACGAACTGGGAGATCGAATAGAACACGATGAGAGCCTGGATTCTGGCTTCGCTCGCGATCTGAATCGATTCATCCGTGGATCTCTATCTTTGGCCACGGAGCTTGTGCAAACAAAAAGAGATCTGGGCCGGACTAGAATGGCGGAGCGGACACAACAACAGCGCAGGGCTATGAAGAACGTGCAACTGCAATCAGGAGGGGTGTTGTCGGTAGCAGAAGGGCGGCAAATGGTGAAGCAAAGGGAGGAAGACCAGGTTGCGAAGGCGAGGAAGGTGATCGAGGATGCGGAGAAGAAGGCGCGAAACGCTCGAAAGAGATGCTTTGAGGAAACGGCAAAAGAGGCACGCAAATGGAGGGCATCGGAAAGACTGGAGAGAGCGGAGGTGTGCGATTCCGAGCGTGGTAAACGCTGGCTGAAGCGGTTTTAGATCAAGGGGTGGAAAAAATGGTTATATCGGTGGTGTGGTTATACCGGTGGTGAGCACCACCTTTAGGTGGTGCGAGCTCGCGAGTTCCAAATAAAGGTGGGGCGTGGCACGGGTAGGCCCTATTAGAGATATTCTCCGGGCGTAATAAACACACACACACGCTCATTGCATGGACAGCTCCCCCAAGCTCTCTCCGCAGGCGGCTCTGGGCACCATTACACAGATTTCGGACAGATTCTGGACTGAGGAGCCCCGTTCTTACGCTTAAATATTAAATTATTCTATCTTTGTTGAATCGAAAGAGTTGTGTGGTGGTTTAGTCGGCAGCATGAGCATGCTGGTGAATGCGGGGCCCGGGGTGGGGCCGCGCGGCCCCTCGTCGCCAACGGGAGGCAGGATCGTGAAACGCAAGCTACTCGACGGAACAGCAAAAGAGCTGAACAAAGGCGGTCGATATGCGACAAGGGCGACAAGAAAAGAGACAGGCGACAAAGAATGTGCGAGGGTATCGAGGAACGAGAGCATCAGCAGCGGTGATGAGGAAACGGCGACGATTGAGAAGGTCTGGGAGCTGCTGGAAGAGTATCGTGCGGAATTCCAAAGATTGAAAGAGACCCTCAATGGGCAGAATGAGATCATCCGCGACCAACAAGAGATAATCCGAAAACAAAAAGAAGAGGCAGAGAAGCAGGAGAAGACCAACCAGGAACTCATCCTTCAATGGGAAGACATCAAGCAGCAGATGAGAGATCAACTTAAGCATGTCCAACAACAACTCGAAGCCACCATCGTGGGATCAGCGGTTACCCCGCCCAGCACTTTCGCCGAGGTCGCGCGTTCATCGCCGTCGCCACAACACAATACCGTCCGATCGGTTTCGTCCGGTAGCACTGCGGCATCCAATGCAAACGAGCTTTTCTGCATGATTGACACTTCACGAGTAGAGGAACAAGATAGAGGCCGAGCACAGATAGGCTCGATCCGGCAGGCCATTGAAAGTGAGGTCAGGACAAAGGAAGGCCAGGCGACCTGGAGGTGCGCGGCAGTAGTGAGGAATTCTCGAAACACAGAGCAAGTCAAGGTTATCTGCAGGGATGAAGTTGAGCTACAACGAGTCAAGGAAGCTGCGCAGAAAACGGCGGTGACTGGAGCTCGAGTGATGAGAGATCAGCTTTACCCAGTCAAAGTCGATAACGTCAATCGAACCGCGATCCTCGACGGAGAAGGCAACATCTTACAAGGTGCAGCCGAGGCTCTCGGCGCCGAAAATAATGTCTCAATCGGCAAGATCACCTGGCTGAGCAACAAAGAAACAAGCAAAGCATACGGGTCTATGGTAGTCTATGTGACGAAAAAGAACGATGCGAAGAAGCTTTTGGATGGCAAGTACTTTGATCTGGCCGGAGAGTCGGCGTGCACCAATCCCTTCGAACCCCGCAAGGGACCGATGCAGTGCTTCAACTGTCAAGAAATGGGTCATAAAGCCTTCAGGTGCAAGAAACCTCAGGTATGCGGAAGGTGTGCGAGTGCGGGTCATCATCATAGGGAGTGCCAGGCAATGGAACCGAAATGCGTCTTGTGCGGCGGACCGCACGAGGCGTTCAGCCGGAATTGCCGTGTGCGACACACCCACATCAATGCATAAGACCCTCAGCATTCTACAGCTCAATGTGCGAAAACGGGAACCAGTACAACAGAGTTTGATGAATGACGAGGACCTCAAGGATTACGGAGTGCTGGCGGTCTCCGAACCGTACGCCAGGATGATCGACGGCAAGGTGGTGACAAGCCCCAGGATGCACAGCAACTGGACGAGAATATTGCCAACGCACATGAGCGACGGCCCCTGGCCGATCCGTAGTATGCTTTGGGTGCGAGACGACGTCGAAGTGGTGCAGATGCCGATGCCATCAGCGGATCTCACGGCAGCGGTGCTTCGACTGCCGGAGAGGAGCGTCCTGGTGGTATCGGTCTACGTGGAAGGGCAAAGCACAGAAGCGCTGAAGAGCACTACTGGGCTATTGCATGACTTGATCCAAAGATTCCGTCAAGGCTCTGGTGCACGCACAGATGTGGTGTTGGCTGGAGACTTCAACTCTCATGACCTACTCTGGGGAGGAGACGATGTTTCGGTTCAGAGACAAGGAGAAGCCGGGCCGATCATTGATCTGATGAACGAGCATGGCCTCAGGAGCTTGCTCCCGAGGGGCACGAAAACGTGGCAACGCAAAGATCAGGAAAGCACCATCGATTTGGTGTTGACGACGTCAGAGTTGGCAGACGAAGTGGCAACATGCGCCATCCATCCGACCGATCATGGCTCAGACCATAGAGCTATTCAGACGACTTTTGACATCACGATGCCCGAGAGAAGTGCGAGGCCAAGACTCCTGTTTAAGAATGCCCCTTGGAATCTCATACGAACCCGGGTGAAAGACAATCTGCGACTCTTGCCTTGGGCTGTCGACGTTCAAACCCAGACGGATCAACTGATGCGGATCGTCCTGGAGGCTATCCACGAACTGACGCCTCGGGCACGGCCGTCACCGTACGCAAAACGTTGGTGGACCAAGGATCTCACACAACTTCGGCGGACACACACGTTCTGGCGAAACCAAGCGAGGACGCAACGACGAGGAGGCCAACCGCGACCGGACCTCGAACGGCGGGCCAAAGAAGCGGCGAAAGAGTTCCACGATGCCATTCGACACCAGAGGAAGGCGCATTGGGATGACTTCCTCTCCGACGATGCCAACATCTGGAAGGCGACTAAATATCTTAAAGCCGGCAAGAGCACTACGGGCGACAAGGTGCCACCTTTGAGGAAAGGGGATGGATCGACGACCGAGGATAAAGCAGACCAGGCAGACGAGCTGCTCATTGCCTTCTTTCCACCCTTGCCTGCGAGAATCGAGGATGAGGGGGTGCGACCACAGCGGAAAGCGGTGCCCATGCCCGGACTGACATTGGGAGAGATCGAGGAAAAGGTCATGACAGCGAAACCGTGGAAAGCACCTGGAGAAGATGAGCTTCCGACAGCGGTGTGGAGACAACTCTGGCCGGTGACAAAGGATCGGATATTTGCTCTCTTCGATGCATCTCTCCGAGACGGCGTTGTACCTCGCCAATGGAAAAGCGCGAAAATTGTCCCACTGAAGAAGCCACACAAAGACGACTACACGGTAGCCAAGGCGTGGCGACCAATCTCGCTTTTGTCGACGCTTGGTAAGATACTCGAAGCGGTCGTGGCCGAGCGCATCTCATATGCTGTAGAGACCTATGGTCTTCTACCCGCGAACCACTTCGGAGCGAGAAAGCGACGATCTGCCGAGCAGGCGCTATTGCTGCTACAGGAACAAGCTTACAAGGCTTGGCGCAACCACAAGGTGCTTAGCCTGATCAGTTTTGACGTCAAGGGCGCCTACAATGGAGTTTGCAAGGATAGACTGCTCGAGAGGATGAAGGCGAGAGGGATACCAGCCAAACTGGTAAGATGGATAGATGCGTTTTGTTCTGGGCGAACAGCCTCGTTGGTAGTCAATGGGTACACGTCGGAACAACGGGAGCTGCCTCAAGCAGGCCTTCCTCAAGGGTCACCGCTGTCACCGATTCTGTTCCTCTTCTTCAACGCGGACCTGGTACAGAGAAGGATCAAGGCGGAAAGCGGCTCGATTGCGTTCGTCGACGACTACTCGGCCTGGGTAACCGGGCCCACTGCGGAAGCGAACCGGGAGGGTATCCAAGCGATCATCGACGATGCACTTGAGTGGGAAGTGCGCAGCGGTGCAACGTTTGAAACAGAAAAGACGACGATCGTCCATTTCACACGAGCCACAGTGCGCAGTAGCGATGGCCCATTTCTGATCCGAGGCCAAGAGGTCCGACCTAAAAAGAGTGCCAAGATCCTGGGAGTGATCATGGACGAGGAGCTGCGATTCCAGGACCACATGATGAAAGCGGCTGCCAGTGGACTTAGCGCCGCAATGGGCCTGAGAAGGCTGAAGGGCCCCCTTTCCGCTCCCTGTGCCCGATTTTTAGTCTCCCTGTGCACCTTACCGTACTTGGCAAGACTCCACACGTAGACGCGTAACACACCATAATACACACAATTGGCGTCGCGGCAAGCAGCCTCCTGGTACAACACCACAAGCCAAAATAACTCGTGATAACCACCCACCTCGCAATACCACATCGCGTCTGCGCAGCTAAGTTTCCAGAGGCACACAACCGCCACAAAGCAGCTAATCAAACCGTTCTTTTGTCAAGATGCTTCTCCAGCCCCCGCCAAACAATATGCCACTCTTTGAGACCTTTGACGATGCGTTTGACGAGCTCCAGCGGCATGCGCGCTGCCAAGGCTACGCCATAGTTAAGTTCAAGCCAAGCAACTACGAACATGGGCTCCACGCCGTTACGACATCGTATGCGCATGCGGCGGCCGTGAATACAAGTCAGCCTCGTTAGGACTCCGGAAGACTGGCACTAGGCGGACTTCCTGCCCGTTTAGAGTCAAGGTTGTGCGCCTGAAGCTGAGGAGGCCTCTGGCGAGTCTCTGTGATGTGCCCAAGGCACAACCATGAGGCCAATAGGGCCGGCGCCTTCCCAGAATACCGGCGCCTTCATCCACATCAACTCCAGCAGGTTAAAGATTTATCTCGCGATGCTGGCTTAACGGCGCGGCAGATCCTTCTTGCTCTTCGGGCTAAGAACCCGCGGCTACTTGCAACAGAGCAGGACATCGCGAATATCTGTGCCCGGCTTCGTCTCCGGGAGCTTGGGGCACATACATCCACACAAGCGCTTATTGCCAGGCTCGACGAGGAAGGTGCCTTCCATAAAGAGCTACTTGACGATGAGGATCGCTTCTTCTACCAGATTGTGGGCCTTGACCCTGCCTTGCGGCTTTGGGCACAACATTCACACCTCATGATGGCCGACGTAACGAACAACACGAATAGATATGGCCTCAAGCTGCTAGAGATCAATGGAATCACTGCCTTGGGCTCTATCTTCCTGTGGCTTTCTGTTTAATCCTTCCGAAGACACGAACGCATTTACCTGGTGTTTTATACAGCTTCGCGAGTGGTTACAGTCAAAGGCAAGGCTAAGAGGCGAGGCTGACGGCAATGCCTTTATCCCACACGTTATCATCACGGACTATGACGCTGCTGCGCGCGCTGCATTGTCGGCTACCTTCCCGGACTCGCAGCTACAGGTCTGTACGTGGCATATCATGAAGAACATCACTACAAACGCGAAGAAGCGCTGGCTTGGCGACTATGACGATGATGACCCATTTGACCCGCCGCAAGAGCCCCAAGACGATGAAGACCCCGGGCGCTCTGCAGCTACCGGAGCCACTGCCGGAAAAAGGCCCCTGTGCCTTCACAACAGCCTTCCGGTCCGTAGTGTATGCCCCGACCGAGGACGAGTTCAACAGCCGCTGGGGCATCGTCAAAGCGCCTTCTCAGACCAGCACATTATTCTTAGGTATGTAGAAGAGATCTGGATGCCTGTACGAACACAATGGGCGCGCGCTTGGGTCTGCCGTTACCGCAACTGGGGCCACACAACGACCTCGCCTTGTGAATCCCTTCACTCAAGCTCTCGCACCTTCCTTCGCAACGGCCAGTCGAACCTGCTTGAATTATATCATGCCTTGCAACTACAAGCCTCAACCTCACGAGAACACCATGATCGGACCGTTGAGCGCGAATCACGACGGACTCGCGACCCGTTCCGGCTACCATTATATGAGGATGCCGTCGAGAAGGCGTCATATCGGTCTCTCGAGCTTGTACAGAAACAGGCACTAGCCGCCTCGGCCGGCCTCCTCAAACCACAAGAGCGGCCACTTGGGGAATGTGGGAATAGCTTCACTGCCCAATACGGGCTGCCCTGCAAGCATATTATCGCCTCGTACCTCCAGGTCCAAGGAGGACTAGCCGCAAAGTTATAGCTACAAGACCCTTGCCCTTGAACTTGTGGGACAGCCACTGGCTTCTACGGCAGGATCTTGCCGTCACAGACCCATACAGACGAATTCGCGATCCTCGAGTCATTGCCCGGCGCCGCAGACCAGCCAGAGCCATAGCCTTTGCACCTGTGGCCACGACTGCAGCCGTTGCAACAGCCGCTGTAACTGCACCTGTGGCCTCGTCAGCAGCGGCAGCAGCTACCCCACCAGCTTCGCAACAGTCACAGCCTCGCGGGCAACAGCAACAGCGGCAGCCAGTCTTGCAGACAGTGCTTTCGCGGCTTGAGGCTATTGGCAACTATCTTGGCATTGGGCCGGCTATAGCTTCGTGGTCGGTGTCAACACCACAAGCCGACATCGTGATCCGTCAAACGCCTACACAACCGACCTCATACCAGCAGCCGCAGACTTTCCGGCGCTCAGAGTCTGCCACCCAACTTATGCGGCGGCTACCTCCGCCTTCGAATATCACGAGCCGCCGCGGCCGCCGCGTCAAGGAGGTTCTCAACGGGGCATCGCGAGCGCCCTCGTCTCTTTACCCTTGGGTCCTCGACCCTCTTTCTAGCACCCTTACATCAGTGGAAGGAGGATTCATGCCGCTCCCGGCTTCGCAGATAAGTAACGCTACAGTTAGAGGAAAGGGGAACGCTCGCCACGGCGGAAAAGAGGCCACGCAATGCGGCAGCCGTATGAGCTTGTAATGCGGCTAGAAGATATGGAGGAAATGTGCGAATAGCTTCAAGTTCATAATGTTCAACGCAAGACTCTACAATCCGTGACTACCTTCTAATTGGTGTGTTGCACACACAAATGCATGTCTTGGCCGATTCGCGATGCTTCTACCTAATACGGTAAGGTGCACAGGGAGACTAAAAATCGGGCACAGGGAGCGGAAAGGGGGCCAGGCTGAAGATGCTGTCGCCGAGAGTGGCTAGACAGCTTTTTGAAGCAACAGTCGCGCCAGCCATGGATTACGCCTCTAATGTCTGGACTTATGCCCTCCGTGCGAAACATGTTGGCTGGATGAACAAGGCACAGATGATAGGGGCGCAAGCCATCACAGGCGCGTTTCGTACGGTCGCAAAGACCGTGGCCATGGCCGAGGCCAACGTTCGAACGGTAGGGGAACGACACAGACAGGCTACGATCAGACTCTGCATCAATCTTCAGACCCTGCCGATGACACATCCACTGGCAGCGTTGAGAAACTGCGCAACCAGACGGTTCGTGTCGCCGCTGCAGAGAATTGTCACAGCGGTGGAAACAGTGCAGATGGACCAGATAGAAGACATACACGAGTATGCTCTGCCGCCATGGACACCCCGCATCCAAGTGATGTTGGAGAGCGACAAAGAGAAGGCTGTCAAGGCAGCGAATGACGCCAAAGGCATTGTGACAGCAACGTCCAGCTCGCAAAGGAACGGCGTGGTGGGGATGGGAGGCGTGGTGCGCAGTGTGAACCACAACCGCTTGGGCGTCGTTCTTGCCAGCTATTCCGTTTGTCTCGGGACTGCGGAGGAGCAGAACCCATACACGGCGGAGCTGGCCGCGATAGCCATGGCGCTGATGTGTACGCCGACCGATCCGCCCTGTCGAGAAGTGACAGTCGTGACAAGCAGTCGCTCGGCCCTGGAAGTGATCAAGCGTCCTCGTAGGCAATCCGGCCAAGGCATCATTCGCCAAGTTTACGACCATGTCAATCGACTATTCAGGCGAGGCTGGTCTGTGAAATTCATCTGGGCACCAGCCAGGGAAGTACGGCTCGCATGGGTATCGGCCGCCAAGGCGGCAGCGAAGAAAGCAACTCAAGCAGGAGCGGTGGCGGAGGCGCCGTCGTGCAGAGTCAGGTCCACCACTCTGCGGCTAGCTCTCGCTCGACAACAGCGCGACCAGCTTCCGGAAAATGTGGGAAAACACTCAAAACGCATCGACAAGGCATTGCCAGGGAGGCACACTCGCACACTTTATGATGGTCTGACAAGAAAAGAAGCCGACATTCTCGTCCAGCTTCGCACCGGCATGTCGCGACTGAATGGATACCTACATGCGATAGGAGCTACAGATTTGGATTTGTGTGATTGCGGCCAGGCCAAAGAAACAGTTGATCACTTTCTCTTTCGATGCACAAAATGGATTGCGCAACGGAACATTCTCTTTGAATGCGCGAGGGCCAAGATTGGGAACTTGTCTTTCTTCTTGGGAGGAAAGGCCGCATCGGACGGCGACAAATGGAAACCAGACATGCAGGCGGTGCGTGCGGCGATCAAGTTCGCGATTGAGACGGAACGGCTCGACCGAAGCCAGCAACCATTAATGGACAACTGAGCCCCAGCAAGCAACTGCACTGACACATCTCAGCTTCGGACTGGCAGGCCGCGCTTCAGCTGCTGCGAATAGGACGCTGAACACTTGGAGAATTCGGCCTTCAAGCAGGCCTGTCATGGGACCAATGAAAACGTGGCTGACCAGCAAACGATAAGAAGACAATCTGTTGGGCTTGGGGAGTCAAGTAACAAACGTGCTTAACTGTACTCTAGACTGTGTAAAGGCCTTATAGGGACCTCCCTCCGGGCGCAATAAATCCATGCATGCATGCATGCTCATTGCATGCCTCCATGGCGTAGTGGTGACACGTCTGGAGCCTCTGCATCGCAGAGGGTCGGTTCGAAACCGGCTGGAGGCACCCCTGGTGAAACAGGGCACACCCGGGTTCCCGCTCGTCAACAGGGAACAGCGTCACGAGAGAACACCAGTTCACAACGTCAAGTTCAATGGGAGAGCCGAAAAACAAAAAAGTCAATTGGAACAGAAGAATTCGTCAAGTACAATCGGCGTACCAACCACCATCAATAACTAACACAACCAGCTTCAACTTCGACACATCGCGCTTCAGTTGCTGAGGATAGGATGCTGAACACTTGGAGAAATTGACCTTCAAGCAGGTCTGTCATGGAGCGAACAGTGGAACGGTTGGCGCAGCGTAAGAAGATCTGTGGGGCTTGGGGTGTCATGCATCAATGTATCGAATCGTCAACAGTTAAAGTGTCTAGGCCTTATAGGGACCTCCCTCCGGGCGAAATAAATACTACTACTACTACTGCTCATTGCATTCCAGCAAAGAACTGAGAAAACTTCCACGAATACTATTTGAATTGTTCTAAAATCTCATACGAGCAATGAACAATGCTCAAAGATGCTACTAAATCTCCTTCGAAGTCATCCCATCATCGAGGTCGTCTTCTGTTACTCTCCGATCGCGCAAGTCCCCGAAATGCACCCACTATCTCCCGATCACTATCAACAGCTAAATAGGGCCTTTGAGGACAGGCTATGCGGTTTGAAGTTATCATTGAACTGCCGTTTTTGTTATTATCTAGTGAGTTTGGTGCCTGCGATACCATGGTCCGCTCTGGTGTGAATGGAAGAGTGACGATATTTCCGGCGTGAACATCCTGACTCCTCTCGCGACCTTCAGAAGCCACCCGTCGCTCATTCTGCATTTTATGTGGCATTTCCATATTCAGAATCTTCAGCTCTTGTTTAGAATGCCAATTTATATCCCTATTTTGCTTCACGGCTTCCGTCATCCGTCGTTTTCTCCCAATTTCCGCCTCTTATTGCTTCCTCTTCTCTAGAGCGAGAGCTTTTGCTCCGCCGCCTTCTGCTGTCGCTGAAGCTTTCGGGTATCCTTCTTCAGAGCCTCCTCTTGCTGTTGGGGTCCTTTGACTGTCATTTTTTGGCGAGCTTGAACCACTTTTGCGGAGCTAAACACCTCGTCTGCACTAGAATCTGTACAGCAGAAGAGATCATCTTTTGGAGCCTTACCGCCCTTCCTGCGCTGGTTCTTGTGAATACGTGTTCTCTGCAAACTTTAACTCGCATATCAAGTACTTAAATCTCATATTGAGGGCTTTCGATGGTGCTGCTCAACCTTCGACTGTTGCGGCCAGCATCGACAGAGGACTTGTCGACTACTTCCTGAAATGCGTGTAACGGTCTCAACTGAGTGTGTTGACAACTAGCTGAGCGACTGCGACGAGTATCCTAAAGCTAAGGAGAAAAGAAGGAAAGAAAGGAAAAGAAGTCTCTCGAAGATGGGTGAAGCTTTTTATACCAGCTCTGGTGGGTCCGTCGAGAGTGGAACCGAGACTCCCACGGGCCTAGCCCGTTACAATATCCCCCTTCTCCCCCTCCTGTGCCTCTTGTCGATTCCGCCCAACTCCCAGTGGGAAGGAAAAGCTATGGGATGGGTGGGTGGGAAAATCTTGCTCTTCGCGCGGCCTGTATCTCAGCCGATCGCGCAGTCCTTCGTCTTCTGCTTGCTCGCGGCCTCGTTCCATGCCGCTGTTGCAGATCTTGCCTGTCGCCCTAGTAGCCCTACCACTGCGCTCAGAACCATGTGCTTCGCTGCCGACCTAGGCATTCCGCTCTTTGTTGCGCCTTTGCGTCTTATGCCACTCGCTGCCTCTCCCGGTCAGGCCCGCGCCCTCGCACTGTTACCTGCAGTGTCACTTTGCTACTCCCGCGGCGACTCTCGTGGTGTGTTGCTTGCGGCCTCGTGACCTGGCCGTTCCAACGTTGTCGTACGTGCCGTCCTCGTAGCCTCGTCCCTCTATCGTCCACATACTCCGTGTTGCCCTTGGTCTTACGCACCCGGCTGCGCTTCACGCCTTATCCGCCGCTCCGGCCCGCTCCGGCCCCTCTCCCTGGGCCCGCCTGACCGCTCCGACCGGCCGGCGGCTCGCCCCTCACTTCGTGTGCCTTGAGGAACGAAAGGCTCTTCCTTCCGCCCCTTCCGTAAACACGGACCGCATGGTGCCCCGTGCGCTCCCCAGCCACTCTTCACTGCCACCTACTTCCGGCCAAACAGAGCCACTGCTTCCTGCTGCCCGCTCCGGCCCCTCTCCCCGGGCCGCCTGACCGCTCCGGCCATGCTCCGGCCGGTCGGCGGCTCGCCCCTCACTTCGTGACCGCCATTCTTCTACCAACCAGCGGGACCAAGGGTCTTGACCCTGACCTACGCACTCCGTGAGCCCTCTGATCTTCCAACGCCGGATTCTTGCTGGGCGCCATAGCAGATCATTCCCTCCCACTTCGTCCCAGCTCTCGTTCGCAGCACCATGCCGCGAGAACACCCAGCCACTGTCGCACCCGAAGAGGTTCACCGCACCTTGAGGATCTTGAATCGCAGGCGTCCTATCGGCGCCGGTCCTTACAACGCCCTTCACCGCTTGCCAGAGTCCCCACGATGAGATCCTCCGTGTCTTGCGAGATATGGACCGCCAGCGCGCCGAAGACCGAACCCGCCGCCGTGAAGCTCAATCCCGATTTGCTGCACAGACGCCGCCGCCCGCCACTCCATCACCGAAACGACCTAGACAAGAGCAAGCGCCTCTCACTCCGCCGCCGACGCAGCCAAGGCGCTCCCCAAAGACCCCGGCCGATGCGAGAAACCGTTCAACTTCAACGAGACTCTGTCGAATCCATACTGCATCACTACAACGCCACTTTCCGCGTCAAGGAGCAGGCATCATCGACAAGATCCTGGTGCAACGAAGTTCCGGTTGCCCTCCAGGTAGAGGCTGCTAAATCTTTCTACCAAGCGTTTACCGAGGAACGGACGTTGCCGGTTTCCCACTGCGTCTTCTGCTATAGGAAGACACCGCCTTGCGAACTCGCCACCATACAGTGGAGGGATCGCTTGTCGCCCTCCATGCTGCAGGCGACCAAGACTGTCCAAGAGTGTGGCGCGTGCCTTCCGTCACACGAGGGCGCCAGAGTTGACGTGTGCCGCGAGTGTCGCGCCGGCTTCGACAGTGGACGGCTGCCCAAAGCCTGCTCGGTCAACAACATGGCCATCGGTTGCGAACATCGGTACCCCGAAGAGCTTGATGACCTCTCCCCCGTTGAAGAGAGACTCATTGCCCTGCATGCACCTTTTGGCTATATCACCAAGTTCACGGTCGACAACAAGACCTGTTCGGGAATCAGCTACCGCAAGCACGTGAAAGGACACATCGTCGTCTTCCCGAACAAAGTGGATGATCTTGTGGCCACGGTTCTTCCTCATCCCTTACTGCAGGCCATTGAGAACATCCACGTCTCTTGGAGCGGTCCGGGCAAGCCTGGCTCCGCAGACGTCAGACACCTGCTTCAAGTGCGCAAATCTCGAGTGGCAGCTGCCCTGGCATGGCTGCAAAGGAACAACCCGCTCTACGAGGATATCGCAATTAACCAAGCAGAGATAGATGGCTGGCAGTATGCCGACGGCTCCACTGTTCCGACCGTCATCATGGACCGCATGCGAAGGGAGGAACCGTCGACCGTTGAGAAGACACAAACGGACCACATAGTCCCGGACACTGATCGAGGCTTGGAGGAAAACAGCTTCAGAAGCATCGATGAACTGGTGAACTCGATCAACCCCACTTTTGCGGCTGAATCCTGCGATTTAGATCGTACTCTGTCCCCCGAGCAGACTCAACCATCCCCTGGTGAGCCGGCGACTCTTGTCCCCGACTCGGCTGCCATCGGCCTGGAAGTTGACGCCGTCTGTGAGATGTCTGCTTCCGGCATGTTCCTCTCAGTGGACCGGCTGCCTTCGCCGAGACCGATAAACTGTCGTTTCTGGCCGACATCGTCAACGCCAATCCGGATCGACATGGCAACTCTGTGCCGTGCGTTATGCAGGTCCAAACTGCGGGAGACCAGCCGTTTGTCCGAGTAGAGCGTGGTGCGGATTTTGCAGACAACTTGCACGAAGATTTCTTCCCTCGAACATTTCCGAAGCTTTTTCCGTGGGGAAGGGGTGGCCCGAAATCAAAGGGCGACTCGAGTCACAGCCGACAAAGCGTTGTTGCCGACCGTCGTCCGAATCACTCGCTTAATTACTGGGCCAGATACGTATTGCGACGGCACGGAGGCCGATTTGCCACCCATCCTGTCTTTTGTTTCTTAGTATTCAACACCCTCCTTCGCTCCTCCAACCGCCGCATCAGCATGGTTCGTGTCGCTAAAGATTCCTTCCACAGGCTCGAGCAAGCGTATGCGAACTTGAACGAGGACCGACTGAAGAGAGCCGAGGCGGAGATGCGGGAGGCAAGGACCACGTCGGACCCTGACATATCGGTCTTGCTTCGCGAGCTGTCGATTTTTGGCCACGCACAGTCACCGGCATGTTGAATGTACCAACCGTGGCCTGGCCCGCCTCGAAGGGAATGTGTCCGCTGTGGATGGCCTTGGGGTCTTTTTTCTGTAGCGGCGTGCATCCCTCGTCCTCGGCGCTTTCGGTCACGGTGTGGTTGCCGCTGCTGAACTGAAACTGTACGGTATCGCCCACTTCTGCAAGGATCATGTTGGGCAAGAAGAGATCTTGCGGACCGCCGACGACGACGGTGTGCAGCTTGTCAGCCGTAGTGGCGGTAGAGTTGCCACCAGCCTTGGCCTCTGCTCTGGCTGTTTTCGTTGTTAATAAATCACTTTCCCGTGTGCGCCAGTCGGTTGGTCAACGCGCCTTTGATAGTCGCCACGCCTCCAAAGCCTGCCGCCCATAGTGAGGGCCGGACGCTCGCAGCGCTCGCCAGGAGCGCTACGCCCAGGAAAGCTCGCATTATGTATGTTGTATGTATAAGTCTTGAAAAGATCGGCGCGAACTCGGCCTCAAGCCGGACGGTGTTGATATCGAAGTGAAGTCTAGACTCGATTTCTTATGTCTATGCCTGCCCTGTCCAAACTAAAAGAAATAGGATTCGAAGTATTGAAGGGAAGGAACGCTTCAGAGCCAGCTCTCTTGCACGCGTGTTGGAGGGTGAAGATGAAAGAGGACAAGGTCGAAAGAACAGTGGACGAGAATTAAGGCCGGACGTTTGGGGATGTGTCCTTTAGACGAATGGCCTATATATACTCCCCCCAAACGTCCGACACTGTCATACAGCCACAATTGTCAGAAATGAACAGGAAGATGCCATGCATGTGAGAGTCATTGAGAGTCAATTAGCCTTGACCACTGCCCAAGTCAAGGGGACGAAGGTCCCAGTTATATACACAAGAACGGTGCCCATGTGGGTCGGGACACCTCCTCGACTGGGGGCGGAATGTTGTTTGACAACAATGACATACCTAGGCAAGCGAGGCTGAGAGGCTGGATGCATGTATCAAACCCGTTTCGCGTCCGCTCTCTGCCACACCCAGCTTACAGTGAGGGAACTCCAGATGCCAGTTTCCAGAATAAGCCGGCTCGGATCCCCTCGATCCGGTCGCCAGCATGCCTCAAGAGGATGGAGGACAGTCATGCTAGCATTGAAGAGTCGAGTCGTTACTGTGCCCGCCACCCAATGGGGCATTGTCTAGTGTGACTGGTTTGTCACAAGAAGCCCGCCAGGAAGTGCGAGAGCGATGATACTTGGTCATGACAGTCGAGTCCACGTCCCATGTTTGATCGCCACTGTGCATACGCACATGATGCGATTTGCGAGAGAAGGGGGCGTCCATGTCCCTGCATGTGGTACAGTACTGTCCGTACTCCTGAGCTAGAAGCATGGAAACATCTCGGTTGGGGCCCACATCTGTGCTGGTCTCGGGCAAGTCGGGGTAGCTGAGGGAAGCGTTGAATGGCTCCGTGTCAAGGCACCCGCGGGCCCCGTTACCGTTCAGATTCATTCATGGATTTATTCACCTGAGACGATCACAAAGAAACACCAGATGGCTCGTCTTGAGCTGCCTTGGAGATCCTTTTCTAGTATAATACCATCTATTGTTTCCCTGCCGTTCTGGCCCTCTTCCATAAGGGAAGCACATCCGGGAAGATAACGTCGTAAGTTGGAACTGTGCTTGGTTCTAGAACAGATCAATGGAACCGTCCAAGAGAGGCGCTCTTTCACGTCCCCGTTGGAGATTCTTGGCGTAGATTCCTCGTGAAATAAACCGCCATGACAACGTAATCGGAACGCACAGCCTCCCATAATGTACATGTACACAACTGATCCGTAGCGAGAACCACAGACCTCGCAAGGGGCGTCTTTGTTCGCAAATCTAGCATGTCTAGAAACATCAAAGAGAATAACGAGCAAACGCTATCATGCTAGGGGCAGGCGATAGACAGGTGTACGTGGAGGCCGCGACGTTTGTAAGCGCCTGGTATTGTCTGCTTCTCAGCTGGTGTGATTCGCCTCGTTGCTGGGTTTTAAGCGAATGCTCCGACAATGGACATGCCGAGGGCTTCGAGAGTTCGAGGTCAGTGACAGTTGGAAGCTATAGTCGGGGTGATTTCTTACCTCCGGCAAGAACCCAGGCAAACGCAATGGCCTTCTTCTTGCCGTTCATCAAGTGATTTGCCTCCTCGGATAGGAAATCCTCGGCCAAGAGGTCGACCAGAGCGGCGTAGATAAGCAGACCCGATGATCTGAGTGCCTTGAGGAACGAGGAACGACGTGACGAAAGGATCTTTGCCTTGAGGAACGAGGAACGACGTGACGAAAGGATCTTTCTTCCGCCTCTTTGCCTTGAGGAACGAAAGGTTCTTCCTTCCGCGTCCTTCGCCACACCTCCACATCCTCTACCCCCTACGCACGGACCGCATGCCGCTCCGTGCCCACCAGCCACTCTTCACCGCCACCTGTTCTTTTTCCCCACCAACCTTCCTGTTCCTGCTGCCCGTTCCCGTCCCGCTCCCGCCCCGGTCCCACTCTCCGGGGCCAACTCTTTCTCGTACCGATTGTTCACAGCCATCACCGTGCACCATGCCACGAGAACACCCCGTCACGGTCTCGCCCGAGGAGGTTCGCCGCACTTTGGGTGATCTTGAATCGCAGAGATCCCAGCAGCGCCGTTCCTATCAACGACCTTCACCGCTTATCAGGGTTCCCACGACGAGATCCTCCGCGTCTTGCACGATATGGACCGCCAGCGCGCCGAAGAACGATCCCGCCGCCGTGAAGCTCAATTCCAATATACCGCACACACGCAACAGCCGAACAACCCATCCCCGAGAAGAGCAAGCGCCCTCCACTCCACCTCCAACGCAGCCAAAACACTCCCTAGAAGACAAACGCAGCTGCCAGCGACTGCATCACCGAGACGACCTAGAGAGGGCTATCACCCTCCACTCCACCTCCCACGCGGCTAAGGCGCTCCTCCAAAAGACACGCGCAGCCGCCGGCCGCTCCATCGCCGAAACGACACAGAGAAGAGGAGACACCTCCCACTCCACCCCCCACGCAGCCAACGCGCTCCTCCAAAAGACACACGCAGACGCCGGCCTCTCCATCACCGAGTCGATCCAGGGCGGAACAACCGCTTCGCCCTTCATCGCCCACACGGACGGGGCGCTTCCCCACGAGGCCCGGGCCTACGCAAGAAACCGTCCAACTCCAGCGAGACTCTGTCGAGTCTGCGCTACATCACCATGACGCCCGTTTCCGCTCTAAAGAGCAGGCATCGTCAACAAGATCCTGGTGCAACGAAGTTCCACGTGCCCTTCAGGTAGCAGCTCCTAGATCGTTCTACCAGGCATTTACGGACGAGAGGACGTTGCCCATTTCTCACTGCGTCTTCTGCTATAGAAAGACCCCACCTTGCGAGCTCGCGACCCGGACCATCCAGAAGTGTGGCGCTTGCCTTCCGCCGCACGAGCGCGCGGGAGTTGACGTATGCCGCGAGTGTCGCGCCAGCTTCGACGGTGGACGGCTGCCCAAAGCCTGCTCGGTCAACAATATGGCCATCGGTTGCGAACATCGGTACCCTGGCGAGCTTGATGACCTCTCTCCCGTTGAGGAGAGACTCATTGCCCTGCATGCGCCCTTTGGCTATATCACCAAGTTCACGGTCGACAACAAGACCCGTTCCGGAATCAGCTACCGCAAGCACGTGAAAGGACATATCGTCGTCTTTCCGAACAAGGTGGACGATCTTGTTACCACCGTTCTTCCCCATCCCTTGCTGCAGACCATTGAGAATATCCACGTCTCTTGGAGCGGTTCGGCTAAGCCTGGCTCCGTAGACGTCAGACACCTGCTTCAGGTGCGCAAATCTCGAGTGGCGGCCGCCCTGGCGTGGCTGCAAAGGAACAACCCACTTTACGAGAATATCGCAATCGACCAGGCAGAGATGGATGGCTGGCGGTATGCCGACGGCTCCACTGTTCCGACCGTCATCATGGACCGCATGCAGAGAGGAACCGTCGACCGTTGAGAGGACTCAAACTGACCACATAGTCCCGGACACTGATCGAGGCTTGGAGGAAAACAGTTTCAGAAGCATCGATGAACTTGTGAGCTCGATCGATGGCACCTTCGTCGACGAGTCTCGCGACTTGGACTGTACTCTATCGACTGAGCAGACTCGACCCTCTCCTGGTGAGCTGGCGACTCTTGTCCCCGACTCGGCTGCCATCGGCCAGGAAGTTGAAACCATATGTGAGACGTCTGCATCCGCCATGTTCCTCTTGATGGACCGGCTGCCTTTGCGGATACCGATAAGCTGTCGTTTGTGGCGGGCATGGCCAACGCCAATCCGGATCCACGTGGCCGCTCTATACCATGCGTTATGCAGGTCCAAACTACGGAGATCAGCCGTTTGTCCAAGTAGAACGTGGTGCGGACTTTGCAGACAACCTGCACGAAGATTTCTTCCTCGAACATTTCCCAAGCTTTTTCCGTGGGGAAGGGCGGCCCGAAATCGAAGGGCGACTCGAGTCGTAGCCGACAAAGCGACGCTGCCGACCGTCGTCCGAATCACTCTCTTCAATACTGGACCAGATACGTATTGCAACGGCATGGAGGCCGATTCGCCACCCATCCTGTGTTTTGTTTCTTAGTATTCAACACCCTCCTTCGCTCCACCAACCGCCGCATCAGCATGGTCCGTGTCGCTAAAGATTCCTTCCACAGACTTGAGCAGGCCTATGCAAACTTGACCGAGGACCGACTGAAGAGGGCCGAAGTGGAGATGCGGGAGACGAGGTACTACGTCGGACCCCGACATATCGCTCTTGCTTCGCGAGCTGTCGATCTTTGGCCATGCACAGCCGCTCTCGAACGAATCCCGTTTACTTATGCGGAGGAAGATACAAGCTCTAGACATCCGCGCCGGTATGCCTGCAATCTGGATTACCATCAGTCCCAACGACATTAATAACCCGGTAAAGATGAAACTTGCCATTCATAGGCTCCACGATTATGAGTCTGCGAAGGAGCTTTTGGCCGATCTCCGTGAAAAGTACGACAGGATCGCCCTCAGCACCATGGATCCGGTCAGCTCGGCCATCTTCTTCCACCGACAAATATCCCTATTCTTTGAAAAGTATGTGAATACAGACCGGGAATCGATCTTCGGGAAGATCAGCCACTACTACGCCACGGTGGAAACGAATGAACGAGGCAGCCTCCACTTGCATGGACTCCTCTGGCTGGACGGCAACATGCGCTTACCGAACTTGATAGACGACATGGCCAATCCCGCGGAAGAAGCATATCGCGCCCAGGTGATTCGATATATAGACTCCGTCTTTCATGAGTGTCTAGATGAAGATGCCGGAAAAGCCGTGCGACAGGAGAGAAGCCCATCGATCCCGTGGAGGAGGTCATGACCAGCACCTCGGCTCTCACTGCGGCTTTTGAAGACGAACCCAATTTTATCGCATACTGTTGCCAAGTGCACTCCACACATACACCTGCCTTAAGTATTCTTTGAAGGGGGTCATCGACCGGGGGGCAGATCAACAGAGACGGACAGCCTGCCGCTTCAAGGCACCGTGGAAGATCGTCGAGCAGACAGGATTCACAGAGGATGGCTTGCTTCAGATTCGGCGCAACCATCCACTCGTCAACCGGTATAACAAGTCGTTGGCGGTCGGCCTTCGCCACAATCACGACGTCTCGATGATCTTGACCAAGACCAAGGGCCTGGCCATGGTGTACTACATCACGAACTACGCCACCAAGCTGGATACGCCGATGTGGAAGCGCATTGCTCTCGCCACCGAGGTTGCCCGCCAACTTCGCGAGGCCGGTCGTCCGACGTCTCGCGCGCCAGGTCCCGCCCTGCCCGACGAGAGGCACCAGGCGGTATTGAACGAAAGCCGTCAATTCCTGATGAGAACGGCAAATCGCATCTTCTCCGAGCGACAACTCTCGGCTGTCGAGGTTTGTTACCACCTCCTTGGATATGACACCGACTTTACCAACGTGCCGCATTGGTCCTTCTTGAACTTGACGGCCCTATACTGGACAATCTTTCGGCTATGGGCGCATCTCCGCCATCAGGCCGGCGAGCTCACGGACGCCGAACAGCCCCAGAGACAATCCTCTGAGGCAAGGAGGGCGAACCTATTATGCCTGGAGGCGTACGCCTACCGCGGTCATGTTCTACAAGACTTATGCCTGTATGACTACATGTCAATGATTCACTTGGTGCGTCGAAATGGTCGGAGTGAAGATGACTCTCACATTTTCTCGATGGCCAGGATTCAGACTGTGAAGGCTGGATGCAAAGCTTCGACGGCCCGACCAGTACGCCGTCCCGATCTTCCAAGGATACATCAGCGACGACCACGAGGACGATCACCCAGTCTATATTAAGCGGTACGCTCTAACCCCCGGCACCGTTTTGGCTCCGTCTGACACTCTGTGTAGAAACCCTGTCCTACATTTGGCGTTATTCGTCCCTTGGGAAAACTTCATTTCTGAGAGCCTAGGCGATATAACCGACATATGGACGACGCATCGAGCGGGCCTTTGTCCCCGCCTCCGTTTCTACGTCTCTAACATTTGTCTTTTGAGAAAGTCTGCCGAAGACGCGCGTAAGGACGCGAAGCTCTGGGCCAGTCGGTCGGAGGGCGACGACACAATTGACGTTGAGTACCCGCTTGACGATGGCCGATACGAAGAAGAGCCTCCAGCGATGGCTCATCGTCAGGCCTACAGAGCTCTACTCCAGATTTTGCGAAATGCCGTGCGGACACGGACGCCACAAAGACTCACCCGTCCTTGGAGGTTTAATACACGATCTGTGCGAAGAGAACCCGGCTGGAGAAGAGCAACCTTTTGTCCAACGTCAAGAGGATCTGTACCGGAATATGCCCCATGATCAAGGTGACGCCTTGTGTCAATTTCCAATATCTCGAGACGATGTCCAGGCAGCGGCCAAGGCCCAACAACTATTGCATCTTCGGATGCTAGACGACATTGAGGGTGGTTCCCAGGGGACCATGCTTTCCGCGGATGGCGCCGACATCGACGATACGCTAGCTCGCTACGGCGATACGGAGTCCCCTGCTGGGCTCCCGGGCAGCGACCTCAATGAACGAGGCCCTCGGATGCTTGTCGACGTCAGTCCGGCAACTAGCTTCGCGGAGATGGGACACACCGCCGCGGCCAGCTTTACACTGAACTATCTACAGACCATGGCCCTTCAACTCGTTTGCCTGTTTCTGGACAAGTATACTGCCAATCCGGACTCAGCGGGTCAGCATCTTCAATACACCGGCGGGCCGGGTGGCACGGAAAGTCGAGGATTATCGATGCCCTCAAGGACGTGTTCGCGGCGAGGAACCAGCCGCATCTTCTGCAGATAACCGGCACGTCGGGCAGTTCGGCGGCCCAGATTGGCGGCACGACTATCCACTCGGCCTGTGGGTTAGATTCCCATCGCGATCCAAACAAACCGCCTCCCCCCTTCTCGGAGGCGAAGAAGTGGATCTGGAAACAGAAGCTGGTACTCGTGATTGACGAGGTCAGTATGCTGGGAGGAGCCACTCTGCACAACGTCAGTAATTACCTGCAGGCACTCCGTGACTGTCCGGACGAACCGTTTGGCGGGATGCCCGTCGTTCTACTGATGGGAGACTTCTACCAGTTCGCCCCCGTGCGGGAGACAAGCCTACTGATCATCAGACCGCCGGACCGAACAGAGAACCCCTTGCGACAAGCGACCATATCTCACCACAGCGGCTGCAGATTGTGGCATCTGTTCAAAACCGTGGTGCTCCTCGAAGACCAAGTCCGCGCACGCAACGATCCCCAGCTCCGTGCACTCCTGGATCGAGTTCGTAACGGGCGCCAGACCCAGCAAGATCTGAGCTTGCTCAATGCCAACATTGTAGGACGCTCGCAAATCACCTTCCACGATGGTTTGCGCGCTATAACGCCGCTGAACCGCACCCGGTGGGCCCTCAACATGGAAGCTGTTGTGGGCTGGGCGCGCTTCAACAAGCGGCACATCCGTATCTTTGTCTCGACTCACACCTGGCGCAACGGCACGCTGTCTCCAAACCTCATAGCGCGAACCATCGGACAAGGCGACGACTCTGCCTGCAAAGTCCCCGGCGTCTTCTTCTACGCCCAGGGCATGCCCGTGGTTGTGAACAAGAACATCTACACTGGCCTGAAGGTGGTGAATGGGGCTGACTTTACTGCCGTGGACGTGATAATCGATCCCAATCACCCGGGATACTGCTTGGCAGATGACGTGACCATCCACTTCGGGCCGCCGCTCGGCATTCTTCTGCAGTCCGAGGAGACGAAGACCTTGGCGATACCGTCCCTCCCGGTGGGGACAGTACTTATCCGGCCCATGTCGCATACACTTGATTCGACTAACTCTCACTTCAAGTTCTTATCCGCAAGATGCACGCGACGTGGACTGCCCGCTGTACCAGCGTTCGTTCTCACTGATTACAAAGCCCAGGGTAAAACATTCGTCGAAGTACTGTTGGAGCTGCGTGGAAATCGTGTGACCAATGGTGAACCCTCCAAGTGCGATTTTACGAGCCTCTATGTGCAACTATCCAGGTGCACCTCGCTTCGGGGCATCAAGCTTCTTAATCCCGTGAGACACCATGACTTCATTGGCAATGGGCTCGATCAGGCCATTCTTGATGGAATGCAGAGACTCAAGAACTTGGCCGCGGAAACGAGACGGTTATACAAGGACCAAGGTTTCGAAAAGTAGTGGTAGTATACTAACCATCCTTATAGTTTGACCTTTCGCACGTCGTAACGCGCCACGTAGACGTTCTACACTTCATAAGGTGACCGGACCGCACGCCAGTCGTCCGGATCTCGCTCCCCTCCCTTCCCAGGACGTAAGCGCTTTTGCTCCTCACAATAATTTACCCACCATTCCTCGAACGCCTGGCGGCTGTAAAGCCACCTCGGCGGCCCGTCTCCTTCCCCGAACAGGTCCAGGATATGGTCGCAGAACATCCACACTCCTTCGAGATGCTGCGGATAAAATGGCTTCCTGTCCTTGCGCGCGACCACGACGGTGCCAACTTGTGACTGCCAGTCTGGAGGTGCAAACCCGGAGTTGGCATCAATATTGAGGTACGTAGCAATCTGGTTGTCGAGGTCTGCCTCGTTGACGGACTGAGTCCCCGTCCGATCCAGGACCAGCGGGACCTCGATGAGCCCTGGGACGGACGGCACCGACTGCGAAAACACGACATGATTCGCAGGGATTGTAGTGGCAGACCAAAGGGAAACCTTGCTTTTCTCGGCCTCACATCGGACAATGACAGCTTCGACATGCCCCGACTTGCTGTGCGTTTCCTCAAACCTGATGTACCCATCGGCGGGGAGGCATGCGTGGGCGGCGGGATGGGTTTTGCTGCTGGCGCTTGCTGGGGCGATGCCTCTGGCTCCGAATCGGTGTCGATGTTGTCCCACTTTGAGTAATCAATCGGAGGCATTGAGTCGATTCTTAACAAACTGTTACACTTTACTGCATGATTCGCGAACAGTTCAGACTCCTTTGCCCTTCGAGATGATGGCCCTTACAAGTTACCTCCGCGTTCTTACCCGCCCGCCCTCAACCCACCTTGTTGTGGCGGGGTAAAATGGCGTCCAAGCAGCCACACTACCGGGAGCAAGCCTCATCGTCTCAGCAGACCTGCCAGTGTGGAACCAAATTCAGTCCCGTTCCTCAAGGCATTGGCGGACCCTGAAAGGGGCCGGTCTCCTGTTTTATGCCTTGAGGAACGAAAGGCTCTTCCTTCCGCCCCTTCCGTAAACACGGACCGCATGGTGCCCCGTGCGCTCCCCAGCCACTCTTCACTGCCACCTACTTCCGGCCAAACAGAGCCACTGCTTCCTGCTGCCCGCTCCGGCCCCTCTCCCCGGGCCGCCTGACCGCTCCGGCCATGCTCCGGCCGGTCGGCGGCTCGCCCCTCACTTCGTGACCGCCATTCTTCTACCCATGCCCCACCCCCCTTTCGGTAACACCCACCTTTCGGTAGCGCAATTGAAAAATTCTCCACCAAAAGTCTACCATTTGAACTACATGAAATATGATCAGAACTTAACATTATAAACACAAAAAATATATCATTCCGTAGAGAAATGGACGCTCTTATATGTACCGGCGCTTTTTTACCATTCGCCCGGATCTGGTGGTGACTGGAAGGGCTTCGGATGCCACCTTGACTTCGATCACTGAAGCTGTCTCCACCTCTGAGACCGCCTCCTCCTCTGTGTCAGAATTCAGCACAACGGCTATCTCTTGGCTTTTAATTTGGGGAATGGCTTCCTCAGCCACCAAAGCTTCACTGAGAGTCATGAATCGTCTGTTCGGGTTCGGAATTGCTCTCCTCTTCTTGCCTCTCTGCAGCCGGGCCACTTCTTCCTCTAGCTTCGCGATTCTGTTGCTGTGCTCGGCAAGCGTCTGTTCTTGGGCTTCAAAGCCTCTAGCTATCACGGCGTATCGTCTCCGGGTACCAGGAGTCTTGTTCTTTCCGAAATCGCGAATCTGGCGGCTGTTTCTTGGCGTATCATCAGAACCCAAAAATGGCGCGGACTTTGGAGACGTCTCTACAATGTCCGCGTGAATTTCTGGATGCCGCAATGCCTTGGATCGTGAGATCGGCCAATTCCCAGTGACCCTCCAGCCGGACAATATATTCTTTGCCGTCATTCCAACCTCGCGCGCTTTAGCATATGCCCGTATAAAATTGACCTTATGAACAGGCGCAGAATCGGTCAAACAGGTCAATTTCTGAAGTTCTTTCCGGTAAGCTGCCTTGGAGGCATTGAATACACCGTTATCTAACGGCTGGAGGCCATGAGAGCAGTGGGCAGGAAGGTAACAGCAATAAACGTTGTTCAAAAAGCATGTGGCCATCCATGCATCCTGGTCCCGGTTAACGGTAATTCCTACAGAGGTGGATAAAGAAACGCACCGTTGCATGACTTCCATGTCCATCTAATATGATCAGTCTAGCATCTGAGGCATCGGCTGGTCGCGTCTGGGGCAAATAGACCCTCTCAAGCCACTCAATAGCGATATGGTTGTCCGTCCATCCGTTGGGCGACGTTATGTAATGCCAGTCGGCTATTTTGCCGAATTCCGTCAAGAACCACTGTTTCTGAAGTTCTTTGCCCTTAAAGATAATGCCAGGGGTAAGGACACGGCCGTCCGCGGTGATAGCTTCAATAAATGAGGTCCAGTTGCGGGACTGTGGCCCTTTCAGAAGGGCCTTCCGTTTTGGGTCTGCACTCCCAACCACAAGACTATCCAAACCTGGCAAAAGAGTCTGGTTAGTAAAAGTAATGAAAGACAAGCCAAATACTCACCAAAGCCAGACATAATACCGCCTTCGTCAACATTCACGGTATTTTCTGGTTTAATCCATCCATACTCCTTTTCCTGATATCGAAGAACCAGTGAACCGCACGAGGCGTAAAAGCATTAAATCGGTTAGCTTCCTGACGTCTCCACGCTTGTTCTTGATGTCCGGATGGCGATTGATGAATTTAGAGACCCAGTTGCGCCCCACTGTCCGCTCGTTGTTCAGTTGTTTCAAGAGCCTCCACACATGCGCGGATCTGACTGTGGGAGGGAGCATAGCCGAGAGACTCTTGGCGGAGGATCCAAGAAACCAAGCGAGCTTCCTGAGACTTACTCAAGAGTTGACGAGGCTGGATCTGATCAGCCAGGGCTACCTGGCCTTTGAGTCTGTCGGAAATAGACTGCTGAGGTATGTCATACTTTTGGGCGGCGCGGTACTGCGACAAGCCGTTTTTGTGACATCAATTATCGCATTAGCTATAATATCCTCCGTATAAATACTCGAGGCCGCTTTAAGGTCATTTTGGTCATGTGGTGGAGGAATAACGAGAAGAATCATCGTCAGGAGGCGGAAGGAGATTAGGGGTTGGATGGTAATTTCGCGTGCAAGGTACGCACAGGCCACAGACCCCTGTACAAACATTCAACCATTGAAAAGTAGAATTCAATCAATCCTCTATCTACTCCAAGTGACGGCTTGTGAATATCTTCAAAGCTGGCTGGAATCGGTGTAAGTGAAATTGATGGGTTTTGGTGGGGATATTTCCTAATGCGCTACCGAAAGGTGGGTGTTACCGAAAGGGGGGTGGGGCATGGTATTGTTGATGGTGGTTGGTACGCCGATTGTACTTGACGAATTCTTCTATCACCGAATTACCGAATTGGGTCTTCATTGAACGTGACGTTGTGAACTGATGTTCTCTCATGACGCTGCCCCCTTTGACGAGCGGGGAACCCGGGTGTACCCTGTTTCACCAGGGGTGCCTCCAGCCGGCTTCGAACCGACCCCTCTGCGACGGACGCAGAGGCTCCAGACGTGTCACCACTACGCCATGGAGGCGACGCAGAGGGTGTAAGTGGCGGCGGATCCCCGGATCCGGCAGATCATCGGAAAATCCCTTAATCATTGGAGGGAGGGAGATGAAGATTACGCGGCTGAATGGTAATTTCGCGTGCAACGTTCACACAGACCACAGCGCCCTGTAAAAAGATTTAACCCTCGAAAAGTAGAATTCAGTCAATTTTCTATCTGCTCCAAGTAATCGCTTGCGAATATCTTCAAAGTTCGCTGGAATCGGTGTAAGTGAAATGGTAGACTTTTGGTGGAGCTTTTTTCAATTACGCTACCGAAAGAGGGGTGGGGGATGGTAGTATATAGTTAGATTGAGCCTGTAAGAAAGCGGCAGAGAGACTCCTTAGTGCAGGTTTGGGGCGGTTTAAACAGCTGGTTGCCCGCGGCAGGCGAATGGGGGGTTCTAGGGGGTCCCCCCCTAGGAAAGTGAATTGCAGGTATACGATATTCACCCTTCGGGCTGGATATTCAGCCGTTAAGCCCCTTGCCTTGGCAACTTAATGGGTGTTCGAAGTATTTTACCTTCACCTAACGGGTGGACGGACGATCACATCGCTGTAATGTATAACTCGTAACGTCTATTTGTCTCGTTCTATATCGTGTGAATAATTCCATACCCGTCTCTCTTGAATGCCTCGTCCATCTTTTGTGGAGAGCCTCGCGTCTTCGGCGTTCGATTGCATCCTGTCCCATGTCTATAAGCAGCCTCGGGAACCGGCTCTAAAGCGAAAAACAAGCCATGTTTCAGCCCCAACATTCGTCATCCTCGTCCGCTTCCCACACGTCCTTGGAAGACTCGACGCGCTTCCGCGATTCGATGGCATCGAACCGTGGCCTCTCTTGGATCAAGTTGTCTTGATTTTGTCTGGGGCTCATCGGCCGCGACTTTGGCGGCGTCGATGTCGGCATCGCCGTCATGATTGGCGCCGAGATGTGGATGCACTGCATGGTTTCTTTTTCCTGTCGCTTCCGTGGCGAGAGTGCGGATAGGAAAGAGGATATTTTGGATTTGCATGTAGACTGCGGATGGTCGAAGAAGTCAACAGACTCGTCTTCAGCCTGCACCAAGGGGTTTTCGAAGTAGTAGTCCCTGACCATATTGCCGGATCTGTCCGCCGAGAGTCTTGGTGTTGTGGAGAGGGAGAGGCTTCAGAGTGTAGCGCGTCGTGCCAAGTCACTTGCTGCGGCTGTTGCGGTCCTTGAAGCCTCGTGACGTCCTGTGTAGGTAGATGTAAAGTGTATGTTGCCGAAGTAGAGGACAGGGCGCTAGGAGAAAGTCGAGGAGCAAGGCTATTCGCTGAAAGAAGGTGTACGATACTGATTGTAGATGTTGATGGAGAGGATGAAAAGGAGGCATGGCGCTTTTTATGCATGTGAATAAGCCTTCAGCAAGCTTTTGAGCTGAAGTGCCTTGGCACGGTGGTTTTCCATACTGTATTGCAAGGGTCTTTCCATACTTCCCATTATGGACAAGATGTACCTTGTATGGAAAGACCCTTGCAATACACCCTGCAAGTTTAAGTCTAAATTATGTTGGGCATAACCTTGGCCGGTCTGGAAAATTCGATTTGGACGAGTACTCGGGGGGTTGACTAAGGGACTTAGGCCCCCCCTCTTGGAGAGGGGGGGCCTAAGTCCCTTAGTCAACCCCCCGAGTACCGGTACCCGTTGGCTAGTGCCTTCGTAATTGGGTAGGGGAAGGGGCCCCAAGTTGGCTTACGAAGGCACTGGCCAACATGTCGCATCCACACCACATTTGAGGGCCCGCAGCACCTGGCGCGTAAAAGGGGCTCGATTGGCTTGAATTGAGGGTGTGTAAAAGTCTGTTCTATGAAGGTAACAAAAGAGAGTTAGCTGTCTTGCGTGCCCACTTAAATAGGCGCGCAAGTGAACACGGGTATCTCCCTGACTCAAAAGTGCCCTTAGTGCTCCATAATGTGGTTCTGTACACCCCACACACGTTTGGCACGTCGCAGGAACGAACTTGGTGTACCCGTTGGCGGGGCCCCTTAGCTGGCTGCCAGAGGCCCCGCCAACGGGTAGATGTGCCCGCTGCTATATTGCATGTAGCTCCTCGTTCGCCTACGTCAGTCCCAACGCTGAGAACAAGCGCGGGCCCGAATCAGAAGCCCGCGCGGCGCCATAAGCCCTCCTCCTGGTCGTCGGCTGTCCAAGTCTGACTTGGACGGTCAATCTGAACCTGCTGAGAGTGTGTCATCTTGAATCATGTACTTTGCGACGGACATAGTTAGCAGCGTATTGAACCTCCGAGTAATGGCTACATGGCGGCTCTCAGCTGTGTTTACGCTCCTGTTTTTCGCTGGGGTCTAGATCCTCGCTCAGGACTCTGGGGACAGAGATGATCCTTGATGTCGCTACGGAGTACTGCCGGTGAGCACTCATCAGAGGTTCGTGACATGGCAGAACCCTTGCCCGCCAACGAGTCGACCAGGGCTGTCACACAGAGTATATCAGCCTCCAACAGTCTGATTCCCCTATTCACACGGTTGGCCCATATTTTAGGTCGTGGCAGTTTGTAATGCCATATTAGTGATGGATTCGAACCTTCTAGATGACATCGTCATCTAGGCTGCCTGGGTGGCGACATCGCCACTCAACCCAACGCCACAAGTAAAATACTGCGCCACACCTTGCACCTTTAGTGTTTAGGGCTGTGGTGCAAGGCGTACAGTCGCTGGCCCTCTGGAGTCCGCCACTCCAAGTGCACCTCATCAGCAACAGCAACAGCACCTGCCACCTTCGCCACCACCCTCTCCGTTCCCAGGACCACTGCCAGGCATTGGGTTGGACGTGAGTCGGGTCCTAGACAGCGATGTGAAGGACGGCAATGCCGGGACTATTCGTCGGCGCGCGAACGCTGCCCTTGAGAAGTTGGGTGTGACCTGTCTGGGCGTCAATTCTAAGGGAAACGGGCGTTTTCGGCTTCTCTTTCGAGAGTCGGACGTCGATAAAGTACGACAGAACGACACCTGGATGAGGACACACTTCGACAAGGGAACGCTATATGGGGAGCAGTGGTACCTCTACGGGTTGATAGAGCCCATTGTGGGGTTGCGACGGATGATATCGGATGCGCCGTCTTTGGGCGGATGAACGGGGTGAAAGTGCACAAGATGCGATGGCTCGGGACAGCGTCTGTCGACAAGGAGTACCGCTCTCTGGTGGTACATCTGGATAAGAAAGAGGAGGTGGACAGGTTGCTTGCCAAACGAACGGTTGAGATGGCGAATGGCGAGTGTGCATACACGCGACCATTCGTTCAGGGACTTCAACCAGCGAGATGCTACCGCTGCCACCTCTACGGACACTTGCATTATCGCTGCAAGGCGCCAACTCCGATCTGTGGACAGTGCGGCCAACCGGGCCATTCTGCGTCGACCTGCACCTCCGACGTTTTTAAGTGTGCAGCGTGCGGTGGAAAAGGAGCACACAAAGCTACAGATCCTGGGTGCCCGGTGTATCGCCGGGAACTCGCCAAGTTACGACCGACACCTTACTAACATACATCCTCTGTCTTAACCTTTTCTTTTCAGCACAAACCCTCTACCTATACCTGTGGTTGCCCCACAGCTGGTAGGTTAGCTACACCGGACGGCTAAAGGCAGGTGGACTCTTCGTCAAATGCGGCGGAGGAGAGTGGTCTGTACCTCATCAGACAGGCTCCAGAATTGGAAAGGGACAGGTCAAATGAGCAAGAGACGGATTGAAGGATGTAAGAGAAATTTAGGCATTAGATCGGGACGAATTCCTTGGGCTCGGAACCGAGTATTGGACAACTCTAGATTAGGCTTAGCGAGTCTGACGCAGTGCCTCTGACTATCGTCAATGGCGAAATAAACATCATCATCATCAGCCGAAGGCTGCGAGTCTGGCTACCAGTCCAGCAGTCACCGAACAATCAGTACAGTATGTCAGTATGTACAGT